CGTGTGTTTAAAAGAACGAGTTACATCTTGAGAGAATCGTTGAAGTACAAACCTGGAACACGTTCTTCAGCTAATTAGGTTAATTTTCTCTTCATCACTGTTCTTAAACGAGAAAGGGATTATCCTTGAAATTGTTCTTCGCTAAGGACAGCTTATCTTACACGTCCCACGCTGTGCATTTATTTTATAATCATGCGGCTTTGCGCAAAGATGATAATTTTAGTTCCTTTTGAAATTATCGTGCCCTCCTCTAATACCCACCTTGATTATTTTAGGGGATTAAGCTATCATCTTTGACGCAGGCATGCTTTTCAAGGTGTCCTCTGAAGGAAAGGTGATGAAATTTTACGGAGCCCCCCTAACCTGAACAATGTTGTTTGTATTTGCTATCACGTGAAAGCTCGTACACAAAAATTTCGAACAGTCGGAGCAAAGGTGGCAGCTTTTGTTCTAGCGTTCAAGAAGTACCAGTGCAGACGATTTTTGTATTTGCGTTGTCAGTAGTATGAGTAATCAAAGAGTTGATGTCGGATCAAAGCTTCCTTTTTGTCTTGAAAACGTATTCTATTTTTTTCCTAAATGACTTCCATTTTTTTGTGGGCAAAACTTAAATTATGGTTAAAGCATTATCTACCAAAAAAACAGTTTTTTTTCTCAATCATTACTGCGAAGCGAAGCTTCTAACATTTAATCCTACATATTATAAAAAGGATCAATTTAACCGCAGATTTCCGAGCTTTTGAAGAATGTGACTACGAATTACGTCCGTGTCAAACCACTTAGCCGGACCTTGAATCAGCTTATTGGAAAAGTTTAAAGCGCTCTTTTAGTGAGCTAGAAAATAGAATCAAAATCTTCTTACTCCAAACAAATTAGATTATTGGCGGTGCATAAAAGGATGTTACCCAATCTTATTAAATTCCCTGGTAAGCTCTATCAAATAGCAATAATTTGTCAAAAATTTCCGCTCTGAGGCTTAAACTGACTTAGCTCCTAGTGGGATACTGGCTAATTATAATTGAGGAATTCCCCCAACGATACGTGGAATTCTGAATAGCATCCATTGTTAAGAAAAACGGTTTGAAATAAATCAATCTGACAATAACAAAAAAGAAAGCCTGAAAAAAACTCTTTAGGCCCCGACGGGGCTCGAGCCAATGTCACCCAGATGCCTGCTACACGGCACCAATTATTAGGCTACGAAGCCACGTGTATGTCAGAAGCGAGTTGAACTCTTCAAAGGGGTTGGTTTTATTCGCACTGCACTTGTGAATACCAGTGTATCATATATCATCTACAGGTCAGTTGTGGCTATGTCATACCACTATCGGTTACCGTGGCTACTTTTATTCTGTTAACGGTATTCCCTTTCCCATCCGGATTCTGGGAAAAAAATGAAAAAAAAAGAAAAAAGAAACTGGCTCTAAGAAACAATCTTAAGATAAAATTCCTGGAAATCCATGGGAATTCTCAAACCTATTGTGCCGTAGGGGTATATATTTGAGGAAAGCTCGAGCGGGGATTTGCCACCAAAACCTTGAAAACCCGATCAAGTCTCTTACCCAGACCTTCCTCAGCCGGGCGATCGTAAGGGTGAAGGTTAAAGTACATTTCAGTGACGTAGTAGGACTAGGTGCGAGATTTACCCCGACCCCCTGCGACACAAATCTTGTGTAATTGGTAAATACTGTTGTGGTATATTGACAACAAACCGTACCTAGGGTACCTCCCTCTTCCCTCTCTATTTCGTCCTAGCGCCATTTCATATCTATAAATTTGTATTATAGGTACGAGCGACTCTTGTTGGCAGCGAGGGAAGTCAGGAATGGAGCTTCGTGGATCCGATTGATGCCGAGCTGAGCAACTTCAGAATTGACGTCATCAAAGAGGAAGACGAAGATGTAAACGAAACGCTTAACAGCGAAAAAGCTAACGGTGAAAAATGCGAAAAGGACAGTGGTGTTGGAAGAACAGATGAGAGCACTAAAAATGACGAAAGCTCTGAGCCAGAACTCGGAGAGGAAGCCCTGCAACCAGCGGATTCTCGGAGAAATTCTCAAGAAAATAGCGATAAATGCTCTATTAAGGACGATTCTGACATGCGCGAACGACAGGGAAGTAACGCCTCGCGAGAGAAGGAAGACAGAGCGTTTTCTCCTGGGGATAACAACTGTGGGAAATCTCGTGGCCGTTCTGGGGTAGACTCTAGTCGAAGTAACAAAGAGCGCTCACCGGAAAATTCTCGCTCACGGCGTCACAGCAACGGATCGCCGAATAAAAAATCTCGCTCGCCTACGCGTAACGGTGGCTCGCCTCCTAGAAAGGAGAAGGACAAGGAAAAGAGCAAAGAACGGAGAAGAAATCGTGATTCGCATAAAGACAATCACCATGATGAATCTCGTGGTGAACGGGAGCGAAGCCGACATTCCGAGCCAAAGCGTAATAGCAAATTAGGCAACGTAAGCAGGACAATACGCGCTTCTTACATAAGGGCTGTAAGTAAGGACTCGACTCAACACATTAATTTGATCGGAGAATCGGACGTCTTTGGAAGGAGTGATTATCCAGATCATCGAAGTAAAAAGAAATCAAACCTTATTGAAAACCAACCACTGAATGGTTCTCAGCAAAACATTGAATGGAAGGTGCGCATGTCGAAGGACGGTAGTCAAATTTTTGTGCGCAAGAGACCAGCGACGCCCGCTCGACAAGCGCGGAACAAACTTCTGCGCGAACGTGCGCAAAAAATCACGGACGAACGCAAAGGTATTACGACTGACGATGATGCGCAAACTATTTATCAAGGCCGCTATTGGCCGAGAGAGGACCGGAGACGACATTTAGAACGGGTGCGAGAGGCGCGCCGGAAAAAAATCCAAAAACTGCAACAACTGAAAGAATGTGAAAGCCCACACACGGGCAGCGGTTCAGAGAGTGGCAAAGGACGTCGAGATATCATTGTGGAGATGAGTCACCGTAAGATGAATAGAAAACAGTTCGACGATTTTACCACAGTTCGAGAGTATTTAACTCAACGAAACCCGGATGGGTCACCTGTGGGACCTATTCACGTGACCACAGTGTAATGGGTCACCTGTTGGCCCTATTCATTTGATCACAGTTTAAAGAATAACGTGTCTGTGAAGCAACAATTGTGGATAAATGCGTGAAAACTTCAGAGATCACAGGCCACAAATACTAAGCTCTTTGAAGCCAGGAGATGTTTTAATAGCCTTTTTTGTTTTGTATTTTTTTGTTGTTGTTGCGCTTTGCTCTCGAGGTAACAGAAAGACCTGGAAAGAAGTGCATAATTACTGTACGCTTGCTGAAGTTTGGCGGGAAACGTTGAAATTGACGAGTGACGCTGACGCTCGCTTGAAATGTACAAAGCAACGTATGTTGGTGGGAAATGACCGCATACATGGCGCATGCGTAAACACCCGTACAGTACCTTAACTAGAATTTGGGTGTTTACTGAAGCTACCGACCACATTTCCAAGCAGTAGGTTATTTATGAGGTCTCTTTGTCTTCATACTAAAAAGGATTAGACACCTTTTTATAACCCATTTGCGTTTACCTGTCTTTAATCCTTATTGTAAAGCTACTGTAAATGTTTTATTAGTTTTATGTTATGAAGTAACTAAAAAGTCAGCCAGAAATAGTCTATTTAAGTTTATTATCCAATATTTCGCAACTGTTGTTTGTCGGTCATGTATAGTTCCTCTAAGAGTTGCGTCGGCCAATTCACCGTCTCTGCTCGGTATGGCTTGTAATTTATTGCCAAAAAGTACAGTAAAACATTAAATTCTCGGATTCTATCTATGTATATAGTAAGAGATGTAGTATTATGAGAAAAAGAATATTAAGGTCCAAAAATTACATCAATTTTACGAACTATCTATCAAATATTTTATTGATGTTTTTGTTGTCAAACAGCGAACTAAATGACAATGGTCTACTTTGCAGTCACTCCTTATAGTGTACAACGTCATTACGCCCCCCCCCCCTCCCTCCACACTTACAAATGCACACTTCCCCCCCTTTCCCAAAAACTGGCTGCAAAGGAGACAAATATGACTAAGAATTGAAGTCAAACCTGTTTCCATTTAAGAAGATTTTTATCAGAATAATCTACCGGAAGTTTTAAGGCCTCTATTGTTTGTTTGTTTCTTCGGTTAATTATTTAGTTTAATGTTTTTCCGCCAATTCTAAGAAGTAAGATTTTTTTTCTTTGTTAAATTCTCTGTCAGCCTTCATTTCTTGCTGGTTTGACGAACAGAAACGCAGCTAATTGCAAATGCACATAGTGAACTCAAATTAGACCAACCGTTTATGGCCTGATAAAATGGGCTGAAAGGTAGAAATATTGTAAATAAAACTACTTGTTTTTACGCTGGATGCACGCGTTTGTTTTTTCTTGATTTAAAAACATAAGAGGCTTGTTTGAGATCGAGTTCAAAAATATTCAAACTCCTCTCCCCTCCCCCCTTCCCCCCCACCCCCCCCCCAACAAAAAAAAATTACTTGAAAGCATATCTTTTATGGATCAGGGAGGTTTTATCTCAGTCAAATGAATTACTTCGACTCGCCTCAGAAGGCGTGGAAGAACTTATCGAAAATCAGATACTAAAGCAAAATAGATTTTGTTTTCACTAGATAAACTTAAAAATGACTTGGGATGAAAATGATTCTTGCGTTTTTGCTTATTCTCGCTACGTCAGATTTTCGGGAATTAGATCAATTTTGTAGCATAAAATTAGCATTCCTCGTCTGCGAGACCATAATATAAGAGTCTGGCGAACTTTACCTTTTGTATGAGGGGCCAGAAAAAAAAAAAAAAAAAAAAAAAGGAAATTGTCAAGAATACAATTTGACTTTTTTTTTGTGATATTAAAAAGAAGAGTAAAAATGAAGGATAAAGGGCTGGGAATGACAACATTCTTACAATCCGACAGAGTAGAGACTGGTAACAATCATCAAACATGGCGGACGAGAACCGGAATGATGGACATTTTACGTAGCAGTCTTAGTTTAACAATGTCTTCGATTTTTGAAGCGAGAATCACAATGGATGATATTTTTTATTGGAATGAAAAGATTTTCCTTCAAGGGCACATGTTGAAATTTGCGAGTTGTTCGTAAAAATGTGAAATACGCTGTAAATATGGCGGGACTTTCAATTCATGTTTTGCATGTTAAGAAAGCTGTTTCACTTTCGTTGCCTTTGAAATCAGGCGCGGCGTTTTACAGGACATTTCCATCAGCGACGGGAAAATATTCATCCTCTTATGTTCCTCTGAAAACGGTTGCAAGTATTCAAAATCGTACGCGATCCCTGGTACAAGCTTTACGATCTGCAAAAAATGAACAGTCGTGGTTGATTCGTTTGGAAGAGTTTAACGATCACATCCTTCGTTATCAAGGTGTCGGCAGGAGTCAAGCTATTCGAGAAGAAGCCATCAGCTTTCTGCTAAGTGTTAGAAAGAAGGGAAATAAAGAGGTTCGTAAGGAAGCGCAAAAAGCGCTGGCGTTACTGGGATGGGTGGATCCCGTCAAGGGAAGAGGAATCAAAGTGCTGTCGATCGATGGAGGTGGAGCAAGGTAATTTATGTTTGATCTCATGATGTGAGTGGGAGACGCAGCGGCGAAATGGTTAATGTAATGCTCTCTGGGCCGAGAGGTCTGGGTTCAAGACGTGGATGGGTCATTGTGTTGTCGGGCTAAACACTTTAATCTCGCAGTGCTTCTCTCTACCCAGGAGTAGGAATGGGTACCAGCGAATTATCAGGGAAGCCTCGTGACATGTTGGGGGGTAACCTTGGGATGGACTGGCATCCCATCCAGGGGGGAGTAGTGATACTTCTTGTTGCTTCAAGCCATGGAAACCAGGATAAGTACCGGCTGGATGGGCCACTTGGCTCATGTACAGACTTAAGTAACATTTAACCTTTAACTTACATGTATATTGTGATCATCCGCATCAGTTCTAACCAGTTCTGTCAGGGATGGTTAGCGAATTTTTGTCATTTTTTTGTGTAAGTTATCTTGTCAGTCTTGTAGAAGTCTTCATCGCTTGACTATGGCGATGACCTCAGTTCATCAAAATGTCAGTCACTTTTGTGGGCAATGGTGCTATGTGAATGTACTTTTATAAAGTAGCATGCTCAAAGTGGTGTAACAGGGGGCAGTTTTTTATAAATTTCTCATGAAAAAGGATCAATGTTTGAGCAACTGATCACCTACTCCTCCCTTAACCCAACATTATTCTAAACTTGTCATCAGTTGAAGTATAGTTATTGTCAGCAGGTGTTTTCTCTGCCAAGCTATTCTATAGCAACATCATTGATTTCTCTATAGAGGCTTGATGGCGATTGAGATCTTGAAAAGAATTGAAGAAATGTGTAACAAGGAGGTTCATGAATTATTTGACTTTATCTGTGGAGCGTCAACAGGAGCCATTTTAGCATTTCTGATTGGTATCAAGAGAGTTCCACTGGAGGAGTGTGAGCACACTTATAAAAAGCTCAGCATGGATATATTTGAACAGAATTCTTTTATTGGAAAAGGAAAATTATTCCTGAATCATGCCTATTACAACACAGCAAAATTTGAACAGATTCTCAAGTAAGTTCAAGTATGTTTGAAATTTTAAGGTTCTAATAGCACAATCATGTATATAACCTTGCTTCAATGTCAATGTTACACTTTACATGTTTGTTTTGTTTTTGTTTATTTGTTTGTTTGTTTCTATTGGGCCTATTATAAAAGATGTATTTTGCATTTCCTTAGAGCAACCTAATCTTGTGAAACTTGTTATCAAATGTGCTCAAAATTTGTCTCCAGATGCAGCCATTTTTTATCTTGCCAATTAACTAGGTACCTGTTTCTTGAAGGTCCTGGTAACTTAACAGGCCTAGAAAGCTGTTTGGTTTTCCTTTGAGATGGGGGTTTCAAAAGTTTTGAAAATTGTGCTATTAAACTATCAGCTAAAGAGAATGAATGGACTGGTAATGGTGTCAAAGCTTGCCTTTCTATTGAAATTTTGATTTCAAAATATGGCTTTGGACCTGTCAAGTTACTGGAACTTTCGAGAAATGGGCCCCAAGTCACTCATGGTTTTTGTGATGACCAAAGGAGTCTTGGATATCTGTTATAGAACAAGGACCTACACAAAAAGACATTCTAACCTCAAATAATGATTTGAGGGAATGATAAGAGATTTAGTCACTTATGAGCCCCCTGAGGTGCATTCTGCCATTTAAGTTAGCTTCAATCTGTAATTGTGCAGCCAATTTATCTCTTTAGAATCATTGAACATTGTTAGCAATAGATATTTCCTTGTGACGTTGATGAATACAATATGGCTTCAGGAATGTATCCTACCTCTTCTTTAGACAGAGGTAATACTCTACATGTATATTAGACACTGCGAGTTAATTCTAAGGGTGTATTGAGAGACTGTTACCAAACTATTTGGTGTTCAGTCTAAGATCAAGACCCAGCAGGGTCATGGTGTTGTGTTCTTGGCCAAGACACTCTGCTCTCACATCACCTCTCTTCACCCTGTTGTATAAATGGGTGATAGCAAATTGTTAGAGAGGACTGGCTGGTGAGGGGAGGACTGAGTGAGAAGACTGGTGTGATGCTGGGGGTGGGGTGGGGTAATGTTGCAATGGACTGGTATCCCATCTAGTGGAGAAGAGTGGAAATGATTCCAGTCTCTTCATGCTGTGGAACTGAGATAAGCTTCAGCTGGAAAGGCCTCTAAGCTTAAGTACAGACTTTATCTTTTTAAGTGAAAAAAGGGATGGATTTTATAAACAAAGGGGTCACTACAACTTTTTAAGTTCTAGAGTCAGTTGTCCAGTTTCACCAATTGGAGTAACTTTCTTTTGTGAATAGGAATGAAAGTGGAGATGAACGATTGATAGATTCAGCTAAAGACCCAACAACACCCAAGGTATAATTAACTGTCTGTTCTGCCTAAAATGAACATCCTAGCAATAAGAATTAGGCTTTCACCAGATGGAGGTGTCAAGCTCATAAACAGATATATGATTTAACTATGCAGATATATTTTGAAGTTTGAAGTTAATTTCTGTTCAAAGTAATTTTCAATTGAGCTTAGATGCTTTTTTTTCCTGTTTTCCTAGTACATGTGCATCAACAAAATACAAATCAAATAAACTTGAAATCAATTAACTTGAAGCAGGTATAATTTCAATGTTAGGGTGGCTCTGAATTATAGTTCTAGATTTTTCTTAAACTTTTAAATAGATCACTTTTGTCCTGTTCACCAGACTATCAAACTTGTTTTTGAATTAAAGCTTTTAATTTGAATTTAAGATATCCCCCTGTAATAGAATATGATAGTTTTCATATCACTCTCAAGGGAACCCATAAAAATTGTGATAAAATTTTTTTTCTCTAAAAAAGCTGATTGTCACTCAATATAGCAGCTATAATTTTTACTAAGAAAATACTGAGCACTTTCTTGCCAAAATCATGCCTGCTATGCAGGTTACAAAGCACAGAGATTACAACATCTACCAGAAAATAGGGAGAAGCTGGCAGAGGTGTTAGAGTTTCCAATTTTGGTCTTCGCTGTTGCCATAAATGTCCATCATGCTCCAACTTCCTTTAACAATTTGTTATTCCCTCAACTGTGCAGGTGGCAGCAGTATCTACAGTAGTCAACCATTCCTTACTGATGCCGTATGTCTTCAGTAACTACACACACCCTTATGGTTCCAGCTCTAAGTTTCCTCAGAGCTGTAAGTATAGGCTGTGGGAGGCACTCAGGGCATCCACTGCTGCTCCTGGCTACTTTGAGGAGTTCAAACTTGGAAATAACATCCACCAGGTTGGAAAATGTTTTTGCAAAATAAAGGATCAATGCATTTATTAGTTACAATCATAGAGAACTCCTTCTACATTGGTTTATTTAACAATTGGTTCATGCTTAGCCTGTGAATATCAAGGTATGCATGCATATGCAAAGTTTGAAGAGCACACATGTAGAGTAACAGTTGCTTGAGGCACAGCTGAGGACAACTCCAGCTTCTTGGCACTCAGGTTAAAGTGAGAGAATTTGGAAAGCTAATATTTTTTTGACAGCCATGTGTTTCTGTGCTTCTTTGCTCCTTCTCTCCTGGCCTACCCCTCCCTGTGTTTTGTCCTTCTCTCTCTCTACTTTATTCCTCAGTCATCTTTCCTACCTTTTCCTTTCCTCCTTTCATAACTTTTGCCATCTCTTTCCATCCCAATCTCCCTCCTTTCCAAATTTTTCCATTTTTTTCTACTTCATCCTTCCCTACTCCTGCCCTCTTTCCTCCTTTTGTTCCTATTCCCCTTCTTTCCCATTATCTCCTTTCTCACCCATCTTTTCCCTCTCCTTCTCTTTCCTTTATTTCTCTCCATATCCCTCACTCCTCTCCTACATTCTCTCTCTTTTCTCCTACCCTACTAATGTCACCCATTTTCCTTCCAAAATGGGAATTTCCGATAGGATGGTGGACTCCTCACAAACAACCCTTGTGCAATAGCTGTCCATGAGGCTAGGCTACTCTGGCCAGACGAACCCTTTCAATGCATTGTGTCCCTTGGTACTGGCAAGTACAAGGGAAGGTCTGGCCCAAGCACTGAAGAGTTTAGCAGTCTGAAGGAAAAACTGTTAAAAGTTGTGGCTAGTGCAACAGATACAGAAGGTAAAGATTAAAAAACAGTTGTATATGACAGTGGGGTTGTTTTTTCTTTTTCTCTTTTGAAAACTTAAAGGAAAGTTCTCTTTTTGATAAAGAGGGTCAGCGTAATTCTGCAGTAGTGAAAATATAGAGGAGTTCTGAACTGTAATAACAGATTTTATTTAAAAAATACAGTGAGAAAAGTTTCTGAAAGTAATTTTAAAACTCTAAAATTTCTTCAACTTTTTTTAATTTTTAGCAATAGACACTGTTCTCAGTGACATACTGCCCAAGTCAGTGTACTTTCGGTTGAACCCAAACTTATCAAGTAATGTACCCATGGATGAAGGCAGGATTGAAATGTTGGAACAAGTTCAGTTTGATGCCAGAAAACATTTGGAAAAAATTGATGAAACTTTAAAGACTTGTGCAAAAAATCTTCTTCAAGATAAGACTGTTCTAAATCGTGGAATGGACAGGTTTAGAAATTGGTATAGGACTACATGAGCAGACATTTTTGTTATGAACCTTTACAGCCTAACATCAGTATGCATATTCTCCATTCTTTTCTTTATACATTTCCTAAGGTGTTGACAAGGAGAATTTGGTGAACAATCAAGAGCCTCTTGAGTTGGTGATCATTTCCTTTATTCTCATGACCTTAATGTGTGATTCAGGGGTGATATTGTAAGGAGAAACTAGATGTTGGTCACTCTTAGCAGTCAAAGGGTGAAATAAGTTTTTTTAGTTCAAATTTACATGCAGTCAGTTGCAAAAACAGTATTGTTTGATTTTTTTCGTTAAATGCATCTTCCATGAAGGTGTGTTTGAAAATAAAAAAGACTGTTTTAAAGTGCTATGGAATGCAAATGTCATGTACCTCAGTGCAAAACACCCTCAAGAAATAAGAAGGGGAGAGAGGAAACAACTAGGCTTAATTCCAAAGCTTGTTAATTTTCCTCTTATTCCATTTTTTTCCTTTTCTCTTTTTCTTCTTTCTTTTTATCTAAAATTCAAAATCAAAATTTAAAACCCCGTTTTCTTTTTATGTGGAATGTCTCATGGTATGAGCTGCAGATCAACACAAACACTTTCTTGCATACATGGAATGACTTGTCATTTATTAATCACTAGTTGCAAGCACCCTGGCAATAGAGAAGCCTGAAAGATACTTTTTCTGTTGTGTACCCAAAGGTTAAGGCTCCTTGAGATTTTATTCTTCAGTTCTCTTACAAAGATTCTAAGGAAGAAGAGTTTCAGATCCAGTACTTTTTTAACAGGCTGAAAAGGTGAAAAAGACATGAATTTCCCTTGGGAAGTGTCATGATTTTTGAACAAGAGGTTATTTGTATGTGACAAGGGGACTTTTTCATGGAAGGACGTTGCATGTTCAATTGAGAATTTGTGGTTGATCTGGCAATAAATTCAAGAGTGAGTCTCAAAGTTCATTGCTGTGTTTGTGACAGTAACGCAGAAGCAAAGATGAGATTAGACATGGAAAGAAGTTTGAACAGACATTTGTAAGCTCATAGGAAGACACACACACCACAGATGAGTTGCTTCGTCTAGCACACAGCCAGTTAGCCATCTGTGGACATTGTGGTCATGAAGAAATAAAGGGGATGTTTTCTGATACCAAAGCTTTGCAGCTCAGGAAAGAAAAGGACTCTCTCTGGAATAGAGAATGTAAGGAATTTGAATGGATGCCTGTGGATTTTTTGAAGATATCTCGTAAAGCTATCTCTCTTCTCATAAAACATTTACTCTCAGGTTGGTGACTTAACTCTGTAACTTTCAAGATTTAAATGTTGATTCTCTGCACTGTCACCCCTATGTTTCTTATAATTTTACTTGTGAGAATTTCTTGTTAAATCCAACAATTTCCTGCAGCTGAATTTTTATTACTTCTCACCTTCATGCATGGAAATGTAATGACATTGTAAAGAGAAATTCATCTCTGGTTACTCATGGAATTAAAGGGTTAATACAGATTATTTTTTCAAACGAATGACAACTTTGATTATACTACTACTGAAAATCTATTATCATCGTTATTATTATTGTTATTATTACTATTATCATTATTATTCCTTGCATGTGAAGTCAGTTTTGATTTGTCAAATAATACATTTACAGTTAATTTTCGTCAATGAGTTTAGGTGTGTCAGACTGCACAATAAGTGCAATGTGACGATACAAAATTATCTTTGAATTTCCACTTTGAATTTTCAGAGCTTTTTTTCAATGTTTTCATAGTTTTCAAGTCACCATCTCATGATACTTACATGTACATGTAAATATGATGAGAAATTTTTACAACCTGTTGTTTAGGACTTAAATTCAAGGTTACCACACGCTTCTCTGCTGCTTCATGGTCTTGTGAACGTAACTGTCTCTTTTGATGGTTGGGATTTTTACATTTCTCTCTTTCTCCTGCCATCAGAAACACCCCTTGCAACAAAGTAATATGCGTTATTTGGTATGAGCTGCTATGAAGGATTTTTGTATTTAATTGCAGACTTGTTTAAGATAGAAGGAACACAGTTTATCCTTTTAATATTGTTAACTCTTCAGTGAAGGACAGGGAAGTACTAGAAAAAAAAACAGTGTCGTTATCAGATATGTGATGCCAAAAAAAAAGATAACTGACATTCATGGATCAGAAATTTGTATTTTCAATAGTTTATAGTGTAAGTTAGTTATAACTCTTTACACCCTAACATCAGTATCCAAATTCTCAAAACTCTTTTCTACACATTTTATCTGTTACTGACAAGGAGAATTTGTTTAACAATCAGAGCTTCTCATGTTGGTGATCATTGCCTATTTTCTTATGATCTTATTGAATGATTTAGTGGTGATATTGTAAGGAGAAATTATATGCTGGTCACTGTTAGGGATTAAAGGGTTAAAATGTGTTGTTATTTTTGTGTACAGTTAGTCATCTGTTACCAAGGAGAATTCACATATTACCATTCAGATCATTAAGACTGATTTGGAGGAATAAAAAATTTTTTCATCAAAGTTCCATATCATGATATGTATTTATTTCATTAAACTGGCAGGTGTAATTACAGAAAGGGTGTAGGTTTCTAAAGAACTGTGGTGCTGCATCAGTGTGGGTATTACAATAAAATTTGGTTTTGTGAACTGAGTTGATAATGTAAATTGGCCACCATAACGAGTTTATAAAGCTGATGTTTTGAGCTTTAGCCCTTTGTCTGAGAAAATGATCCTGGACAAGGAGAATTTGTTTAACAATCAAGAACTTTTTTCGTCTTGTCACGAGCGTGGGACAAAGAAAAAGTTCTGAGTCCCGATAAGGAATAGAATCTCAGATCTTCGGATTCCGCGCTCCGAAGGTCTGAGGTTCGATTCCTCATGGGGACTCAGAATTTTTTCTTTGTCCCACGCTCGTGACAAGACGAAAAACATTTTTCTCTATTTCTTTATCAAGCTCAAAACTTACCATCTCTCTTATTCTAATCAAGAGCTTTTTTCTTTGGTGATTATATTTTTTATTTTTGTGACTCTAATGTGCGATTCAGGGGTGATATTGTAAGGAGAAACTCGTCATCTTCCTTTTCCAACAATTCTATTGTAGGTGACGCTGGTGGGAAACAAGGCAAGAAGGAAAGCAGTAAGCTTCACTCCGCGGCCAGACACGATGATTTCAATAAAACGAAATCTCTGCTCTTTCTTGAAATTTAATATAACTAATCGAAAGACAAGCGAGTCACATGCTAAGCTTGACGGATAACAGAGTCGCATCGATCAGACCGGTTCCATTTTCCTCCGGTTGTTCCGGTGACTCTGACCAGTACAATGTGCTCGACAATTTTTGTTAGATTTTGCTCAGCACGAAAAAGTGTAGACTTCGGTAATATTTAATTGCTGCATCGTAGGCTCCGATCAGGTGACAAGCCGAAATGATTTTTTCCATTGTGTCGCTAAGCGCACCGTCAAAAAGCGGTGATCCAGTCAGCCATTTTGCCGCTTTGCGAGGAGCGGTACGAATCTCTGATCATTTCGGAAGTGTATAGTTAACGGTATTTACCGCTTACAAGTAAACAACTTTTTCGTTTGTCGCACCGCTTTGTTTTTTGTTGACTGACAGATGTCAGTATAAATGAGGCTTGATGTTACATGGGTTCCTCACTACAACCGTGAAGCATTTATTACAACGTGTCACTTAACTGTTATGGAGAGTCAGCACTTAAAACAAGCAGTATCCATTCTCGAGTCCGCGCAGTCGCGTGCAATGCTGTACAGTCTTTCAAACCGAGGCGTGTCCTCAGTGCCAGCGCCCTCACGGCCAGTGACTAATTTTTCCATCAGCAGGATCCTGGGTCTGGAGAACAGTGAAATACGTCAAGACACGCCTTCCACTGGTAAGTTACATTATATTTCACTCTACTTTATTTAAAAAAATTTAACCTAAAGGTAAACTTACCAGTTTAAATATGGTTTTAGTCTTTCCTTTATTCATTCCGTCTCTTGCTTAAAATTTATGGTCAAAACTCGGGCCAGGTAAGTCTCATTAAGATCGAAAGATCTCTACTTAATCTCGATGTCACTGATAGCATTGCTTGGAAGATAACTTGAAAAAAAGGTGTAATTCGTTTCGGCGTTTTTCACGGGAAAGGAGGCAAGTGAAATTCGTGATGGCGCGCTCAGGATGAGTCACGCTTCTGATTTCGTGCGAGACTCGTTTTCGTGCTCGCCTCGCCTCGCTTCGCGCCTGCCCACGTTCACTCATTTCTGTAAGCATCACTAGAGCGTAATAATGTTTGCATTAAAAACTTTTAAAACAATTTCTGGAGTAATTTAGCTTGCCATGGTGTTCATTTAAGTTCATTTATTCATGTTTTTCTCCGTTTGTCAGCAGTATTCAACGAGCACCGTCACATCTCCATTCAGGCGCCGAGTACTGAACACAGCCGCAGCGACAACAGCTCACGATCATCTCCTAATTACAGTTCCAACAGCGATTGTGACAGCGAACACGATCAACTACCGACACCCTCCGAGAGAGTGGCGAAGAAAAAACGACAGCGCACGACCTTCTCACTGTTTGAAGTGTGGGAACTGGAACGAGTGTTCAAGCGGCAGCCATATTTGATGCCCGAAGACGAGAAAGATCTCATACAGAGCCTTGGGATCACGGCTAGAAGTCTGAGGGTATGTTGCATTTCGTCTTTTCTTCAAACTGTTTTACCGCAAACTTGAATTCTTCTCTGTGGAAGCTTTACCTACCTTGTAAGACTGAAAAGGAGGATCACTTTGAGATAAATTTATCAGTGGAAGAACTAGCTAGGTTTTTAATTGGAATCAGGTGATCGGATCAAGCTGTGAAGAATTTTATGTATTCTAAAAATACGGAATTAATATTCCTTTGTACTATTTCGCTTCAGTACTGGTTTCAGAACAGACGAGCAAAATCGCGAAGAGAAGGAAGAAAGGTTCTGTCCGAATGTCAGAGAAACTCGCTCGACCAGTTTGGAAGACTACCAAAGAAGACCTCGGTGCAGCCCCCTTCAAATCCCTGGATACAGGCTGAAAAGATGTCATACACCGAAGTAAACAAACACTCAGCAAAATTGAATACAAGGAGCGGACCGATCTTAGTAAATCATCGACACCTGTCCATCAAGTCTGATCAGCCGATGTGCCGTTCACCTTCGTTAGTACCCATGCTCCGTCCGTACCAGTTAAAAAGAAGACTCCTTGCGCCCACGAGACCATTATACAGTCGTGATTTCCATAGATACCAACCATATTAAGCCTCTTGTACAAGCAATGACTTTCTATTTGTTAAAAGATGTATTTTTGGTAAATGTTGATGTTAGGGATGTAATCAAGGATATGATAGAACATTTTAGTGATATAACGAAGAAACGAGAAATAAAATTTGGAGACTTTATTGGTGGTTTGCCTCTAAGTTTGGGTAAATAGATATTTGTGTAGTTTAATGGAACTTACTTTGTTTTATTTTCTTCAATTAAGCGTCAGTACACCGTCTGCTATGTTATCATTAATGCTATGTAAAAACAAGATATGATCAGCAATATTTGAACTGCACTGAAAGAAGTGGCAGGTGGTTTCATTGCCACTATATTCTTCAGAAACTACATATGCTAAAACAAGACAAAAACATCCGATGAATCCGTAAAAATAATTACCAGATGAAAAGCACGAGTAAAATTAACTTTAAATTCCAAATGTCTTGGTAAATTAATTAAAATGGTTCTTTAAGTGTTCATAATTACTTTAAAGCTTTTCCATCTTGAAAAAGATACCTCGAATTTTTCAGTTCCACCACCAGCAAACTTCATTAAGATAAGAGTCATAAAATATAGTTCCTTAATATTTAAAAAAAAAAGTTGTTAGGTATTTCCTGCTTTTTTTTTTCTGCGTTTTCAAGAGAAAATCCCTTTAGTCCTCAATTTCTAAAATCGACCAATTTTGCCCGTATGATATCGTTCCACTGTAAAGTTATAGCCACGTCGACCGTTATGTCCAATCTTCGTTTGAAAATATTGATTACAATACTCGGAGACGATTCTGTGATGGGAAGTAAAATAGACAAGAAAAAATATATAACAGGCTGGCTCATTTCAAATTCCTTATTTCTTGACCTGAAGAAAATATATGTAATCGAGCAAAAAGGGCGTTGTAAAAATTATTTGCCAAAGATGTTTTTAAGTGTTCTTAATACTACACGCCTAATCTCGCGTATTTTCCAACAGTAAAGGAACGGATTGACAGACGAGTTGATAAAAATCAACGTAACTCCCAAAATGCGAGATAACTTGGTTGCCCTTTCTATTCCTCGTACATGAATCACGATCAAAATGCAAAAAAATGGCAGATAACAGAGAACAAAAGCGAAGTAGACATACATCATGTTATACACAGAACGCCTATAACGCAAGATATTAAAACGTGTTGCCGTCCGAACCGTTTCTGTTTCACAGTTTGCTTGTATAGCTTGAAGTGGTGCAACGACTCCTCGTACAGTTTTATCATGGCGTTTGAGTGTTAGGTAAATCTTAAGGTAACAAAATGTTATTGTCGATAAGCACAACGCTAAACCACAGTTAGCGCTGATATTGTACATGGTACTGTCGTAAACGATGAGCGAAGTGCTAGCAAGGGTCCAAAGCCAAATGAACGAAAGAGATGCTATAATGTTTTTGACTTTCACCAGGTTGCGGTATCGTAAAGGAAAATGCAAGGCCAGGAATCGATCGATCGCTATTGCAGTAAGAAGGACTAAAGACATATTTGGCAAATAGAAGTTGCTCAGGTAAAACATCACACGGAGAATGCGCACAGCGTTTGCACAGCCACTGAGAGTTGCAAGAACAGTTGAAATGAACAATGGTTGCACAATAATTCCGACTCCCAAGTCGGCTAAAGCGAGGTTAAAAATGAACATCTTGAACACGGCATGGACTTGCGTCAAAGGAATCTTGCGTAACGCGGTTATAATGAGAACGTTGCCGATGATTGTTGCAACTGATGAAACAGCGTTTACAGCAGTGTCAGCCAAGTACATGGCAAGTGGAACTTCAGGGTCGAGATGAGGTGGTGCCTCTAAAATGATAGTGAAATTTTCTGCCATGGTGCGAAAACGTTGATTTCCAATTGTTCTTAACACTGAGATGGCCGCAGAGAGGTTTCTTCTCCCAAGAGACAGTTGTCAGTAGTTTAGTATTTCGTTGAGAGCCTTCTCGTGTATGAAGTAGTAAATAGAGGAGTCTAACAAGGATATTCATCACAAAAACTTTATTTAAGCACCTGCCTGACTGAAAGATGACTCAACATGTACATGTCATCACAAAGAGCACATTACATGCAACTCACGTTCGTTCGCCCGGAAATGAGCATATGAAAGGGAACGGTTTTTCTCGAAAAGAAAAGTATCTCTGAAGCATTTGCGGTCTATCTCCATTTTCTAAATTAGTCATCTCTCTTGTTTCCGTAACAAATTAGTTAAAGATAGAGCAAATAAGATAAATTTATACCTTCATAAGGAAATTTAAAATCCCTATGAAACTTTTTTTGTTCTGTAATAAAGATTTATTTTCAGAATAGATCTGTCATGGGACCGTACCTCATATGTAAAAATTGCATACGATTTCATTCGTGAATTTTTCTGATTCTTCATTTAATTAAAGTCTCTAACTTGGATCATTATTTATCATTGTTTTATTCCGCTAATTAAAAAAGAGAGCTTTACCCTATTTTCATAAATTATAGCCAAATCTTTATTTCAGGGATTTGGTATTTTTTTAAAACAAATTAAAAATTTTCATCAGATTCTACTGTCGCGAGGCCCATGAAATCCCATGAATCTGTGTGAACTTATTTACAAGAAGGCACTATTAGTTTGCACATCTTGAATTAATTATTCATTCAGCTGCTCTTAAGACTTAAATGGGAAATCGTGAGATCGAATACTATTCAAGGGAGCAAAAATGATTTTTCCATCGAACTTTCGCCGAGCAAAGATTTTCCAAAATTGCTGAATTATTGCGCTTTTCCAAAATCTTGCATAAGGAAAAAGAGTGGATTTGTTTAGTTATTTTTACATAATGCATTTGCGCTCTATGGCGGGTAAACCTCGATGTACAGTTCATGCGTCCTGTTTATTCATGTTTTTTGACACCTTCACAGCTTTTTAAGACCCTCTTTTGACAGTTTAGCAAAAAATTAATATAGGATTCGTCAGGGGTGCATGCGTGATTGAACTTAAATGAGCCACTCGAGGCTCTCTTGTGTATTTATCCACTACACAAACGGATTACCTTGCCTTCACCTAGCCTTTTAGATTGCAAAAGATCAACAAACATGTATATCAAAACGGAGAAATGACTCAAAGTTTAAAATTCTTGAAGCTGACAGAAAATGAACGCCGTATATTAGTGATATTTCATATTTGTTTGGGGTCTACTAATAAAGCTGAATTGTGGGATTCACATGATAACGGTGATTGCCATGTCATGTCGCCCACCATTTCAATCTTCAATCCTTGCAAAGGGGGAAGTTGATTTTTGAGCGCTCTGGAAATAGCAGGTTACAGCATAGGAAAACTGTTTCCAGCCATGCATGACTTTAATCTGTACGGAGTAATCAGATTTCTTTAGTTGCATTCTGCAATAAAATATTCAACATATCTTTCCGTGACGATTGACTTGCTCTCCGGCGAAGTTTTCAGTGTTATTCTCGAAATTTCGAATAGATGAAACTTGAAGACCGAGCGATTAGTTCGCCCATTTCTAATCTTACTACATCCTTTTGTTTTCACTTTTCGAAAATTAACGACAGTTCAACTTCAAACTGAACAAACACAGCTCTCTGTTGCTGAAGATCAGTTTTCCGAAAAATAATCCTTTAACGTACCGAGAATGACTGGATTGAAAGTTTTCAATAACAAGTTGTAAGATGGTAAATAAAGGTGGCCTAATATTTCTTCTTAAAAACGCATGGAAAATGCAAATTCAGTTTCAGGCTTTTGATGCGTGGTCAATATTGCAGAATAGGTCTTTCCACGAGTACATGGAATATTTTAAGGATTTTTTAAATTTCCTAGATATGAGTGCAGGATATTTAGAGATGTCATTGATTTTCTGGCTCAACCTTGTCTCGTCCGCGCGATTTTCGTGAAAAACAAATCAAAACAAAAAAAGATAGAGGATGCTCGTAACACCGGCGAGCCTGTTTTTATTATTATTATTATTATCATATCTGTATACTGGAGGAAAAAATATCTTCCATACTTTTCAATCCCTACAGGTAAAAACTTTTGGCCCAATTTATTCCAAATCTCTTTATTTTTCAAAGAAGAATCAAAGTTTATTTACAGGGGATTCCGTAAATTTAAAATCGATTGGTTATCATTCTTGAAATATATATATTAAAAAAAAAAATACAAAAACATTTTTTGAAAACTGTTAAAAGTAATTAAAGCAAGATGACATTTTCGAAAAGGAATCGGTTCTCGTATGAGAATTCGAAGGTTTCAGGCAATTTTCAATTGTTTGAATAGTCAGATTGGAAAAACGAAATGCCGTGTAAAAGACGGAGGTTTTCTTACTTTTGTGATTAAAATGTTATCGTGGGTGATGTGGTCCAAACTTAAGTTGCTGTAAGAGATAGGGAGTACTTCTTATTATAAACACCCTGTTATCTTGAAATCACGGTTAAGTTAGCCCGCACAAGTGATCTGGGTTCACAAAACGATGAGTTTATGTCGAAGTGGATCATCAGAGAAATTTTAGTTGACTGCATCGTAGATCTCAATTTCAAGCAATTAACAGAAGCGACTATGTTAGCAAACCATAGCAACAGCTGAGTTTGATTACTCACGGAAAGAAGTTTGAATGTTTTACAGAGCAGGAACCAACAAGGTAGTCTCATTAGACTGTTCTTAGGACTCAGCAATCGTCTTTATTTTGCGATGCAGCGTGCAAACTGGACAGCGCTTTTTACGGCCACACTAACGTGGTTCTTGATGAACTTTTTTAATTGCAAATAATTGAAACATTTCATTTTACTTTATCTGTTTAAAGGCTTTTGCGACTGGCAAAGCAAATTGAATTCCCAGATAAACAAAATCAGTTAATGTTGAACTTCGAATTTTGTCGATTCTCTTATAGAGAAGTTTAGTTTCGGCTCGGCGCACTTAAGACTCTCACCGAACAATCTAATATGCTATCTCACATTTTTCAACAGTTAAAAACGTGACTATAGCCCGAAATTCGTCCAGCGCAACCTACGTACAAACAAATCATACGTGCAATATGCAGACACTTCTACGCGCTCGGCGAATCAGGATAAAGGACGAACAATGCGTCAGAATGAACAGAAGAAAGCAGAGGTATAAACTTTTTAGATGAGACAGCTCATTCTATTTGGCATACCAGACAATAGAAAGTGTATCTTTGAGAGGTAGCTTAAGAGATCGAAATTTTCCTTTCGCGGTATCGACCAGGGAGACATGTGGACGATTGCAGAGATAACCAGGAGTCTCGCATTCTGCAACAGCTTGGAGTCACGCTGATAAACAATATGTCATGAAAGAATGATTATTATTCAGTTCTGGACAGCATGCATCATCTTCTCTCAGGATCTAATTGGATAATCACTTGTATCCAGTCTATTGTTTCACAATCACCACGGTACTCTAAACTCATTTCATTTGATTTTGAGACAATATGAACCATGAATATATTAAACATCAATTCAACACCATAATCTAAAGGGATAAGAGACTTACATTATAAATTGTCACCACATATAAACGTTTACTTTGAAAAGAGTAATCTTGGAGTCAATCTACAAAGTTATGAAATCACGCAGTTTGTTTTCAGTCTGTTATCTTCTTGTTTCGACCTTTCACATCAATTTGACATTTCGTTCGTTTTGCAGTAGAATCGATTCTATACGAAGTCATTCATGATGGATAACACGCCTTCGCGGGTCCTTTAATCATTCGCCTTTTGAGGCTCAAGGTTAATGGAATTCTAATCAATTCTTTCACTGATGGTCTAAACAACTGGGTTCTTATCAACCTTTTGTCAAGTCACACTGTAACGTGTCAGTATAATCTCTTAATTTGTAAAGCAATTTTCCTGTCACTTGGCATGCTTTTCTATTTACATAAGAATGCTGCAATGAACTCTGGGCCGAGAGCGGTCTTCGTTGTTTATCTTCTTAAACGTCTGATCCTGTCCTATGCAAACACAGTACAATGTGTAAACATGTCAAACTCAAAATCGAGCGTTCTGTTCTCTTCAAGTGGATTGGAAGATGTCTTTTCGTCTCCATCTTACTCGCTCAGGTTTTGGTGCTAAATCAGTATCTGGTGTCGTATGAGAAGGAGTCTTCATTCCAAGCTTTCACCCTCGCTTATGTCCCTACTTTGCTTCTATGGGCGAAGGGACAAATGAACAATCGGCAGCGAGAAGTGGCAGCTGGAGTGTGGTTCCTGTACATCCTGCCTCTCTGCATTCATGGTGGATGGATTCTTGGCACGTTGATGTCCAAAATAGACGCGGATTCCTCTGGACTCGATCATGGCTTTGTGAAATATCCCTTATGCGCTACCGTGTTGGTGTATATGCTGTTAGATGCTGACGGATTTGAACCCAGCTTTCAAATGAACATAAACTGGCCCGTAATCATCGACATATTTGACATTGTAAATCTTCTGGATGCCATCATCGATCCAAGAAAAAACAAAGATTTACCGAATGATATTGACTATTGCATATTTGCGTTTGCCGTTTTAAGTGTGGTGATTCTTACTTTCAGTTTTTCCGTACCAGTTAGAGAGGCACTTCGGAACACAGATGAGACTAATAAATCACTCGTGAGAATTTTCACCACATACACGCTGATACAATCGATTGTTGTGAATCTTCCATTTCTTGTGATACGCCTGGTACTTCACTATACATACAAAACTGGAGGTTCGGTTTTTGCGTTTAAAAATTTATTAGTGATAATCTTAAATTTCATCAGAGTAAACTTCGATTGCTGTGTCAAAGAGAGTGAAGAAGAACCTCAGCCGGCATTAACTTCGAATGGTCACACTCCATCGAACACGGAGGAGTCTGGAAGTGTGATCCAGTCAACGCAATCAAGCCGTTTGGACGATGTCTCTAGCATTTCGTCGTCTGTTAAAAGAACACATAGAGACGAAAGAGTTCGCTCAAGACTTGTGCAAGACAGAGAAGACCCTGAGGAAATAATCGTGTTGAGTTAAATGAGAAAACGAATGTTTAGTCCTGGAAGTGCTGCTTAATTTTATTTTGCTAATTATGCTTTTAAAAGGTCACAAATACTTAATTAACATGATCGTGAAAATAAAACCAATTTATGCCGAGATATTTGGTTTTTAAGAAAGGAGAACTTGAGAACGTTCAAAATTCAGTCACTAGAAAGAATCATGGAAGGACTAGTTAAAATAAAGATGTCTTTAACCGGAATCGATGAACAGATTAAATGAAAAGATCAATGCAAATATCATGTGTTCCAAATCGTAAACGTTATCAAAATATTCTCTTGTTTAGGGTTACTTAAGCGGAAATAGAATTCCATTTTGTACACAATATGAACGATGTCCTTTCTTTATCAAAAATTATTGAAGCCTCAAGGGTGTATGAGTTTTGGTTGGCATTTTACGCCACCATGGCTTAGCTCAAGGGCACGAGTTGTTTGACGAAACTTCACTGATTTCAGACGCCATATCTCGACGTTCGACAAATTAGCGGCCTATAACTTTGGTTAATTCAGAAACACCTTGACATCTTCTGTCGTTATCACTAAACAAGTAAACATAATTTCAACGTCATTCACAGAGGGAAATCCGAGATTCACGTCGAGATGGATTTGTTTTCCTATGTTCTATTCAATTCAGCGACATTTTTTTGAAATGGACACAAAATGGTCAATCCCAAACATATCAGTTTTGATTTCGGTGAAATTCTTGCCTAAAAAAATTATTCTTTCAGCATGATGTTTTTTTCTCCCAAAATTCAGCCGAACGTGGAGAATACTTCAAATTTTTGTAGAATGTATGTAGTTATTACTTGAAAGATTCGAACTACGGGCAAATGAGTATAAGATTTGATACTTAAGGAAAACTCGAAAATCAATTAAAATTCAATTAAATCCAGAAGCAAGTATTTAGTTAAAAGTAATTCATAAATCAGAACTCAAAAGTTCACACCTAATTTCATAACAGCAGAAAGAAGAATCGTAGTAAACAAGAGGTCTTTTGCATCACGCATGCGCATATCTTTGTAATCAAGAGGGACAACAGCTAACAGAAAGATCAACAAGAAGACTATTATATCACGCATGCGCTGAGAGGTCGAAGCTGAGATAAGTTTTATAGAAATTTCTCAAGATTTACGAACTTTAGCCTCAAAGGTGAATATATTCTTCATTTTGAGAGAATTTTGTCAGTATTAGGGGCACCAATTGACAAATGTTCAATGCTGTGGGACGTATGGTGGTTCAATTAATTATCTTTACGCAACGTGGCACCTTATGTTCGCCTTATGCTCGCTTTGACACAAGCGTTTGTTTCTTTATCCGCGGGAAAGTATGAGTCCTTAAGCAACGCTGACTGGCGGGTGTGCTATCAGTGCCAGACCCCCGGCAAACCCCGCTCCGTCTCGTCTCAAATCTTCTAATGGGCGGAGAAACGCACTTCCTGCAGCGCTAACAATAAGCAACATCTCGAAGGCTAAATTCTTCCTGCTTCAGCCTCTCGATAAATAGAATTCCTTACACATTTAATTTGTGTCAAGAAGGAATAATTTTACACAACAATCAGCATTGTATGTTTATACGACAGATCAAATCCAACACAAAATTCAATTCAGGCCGTATGATTTCTTTAAGCTTTTTTAAGAGTTCAGTTTCAAGTTAAACAGTTGCAAGAAAAACCGATCGAGGAGGCGAAGGCGAAGGCGAAGGCGAAGTCTCTACACTAAGAGATTATGATTTTAGGAGAGAATAAATTGTTGCCACCTAGTCTACGAAAAAAAAGTTCTTACATGGACATGTGGAGAGATCCATCTTTATTTAACACTCTTGCCCAAATAAATGCAATTGAGCCAGAACTTTAATAGCATTTCTACAGTTCTTATATACATTGTTGATTATTATACCAACACTGATAGCAGAAAGACATTCCGGATGAACAAATAAGCGTATTGCGACTACTGTGCCCTTACAAGAGCTACATGTACATGAATCAATGAATCCTCGGTTTTCAACTTCATCCACTCTACGATCACAAAACGTCAAATTCACTGCCGTTCCATTAATTCGTGTATTTTTTACAGCTCATGTATAAGCCTTGGATATAAGTTCATGTTTTAGACCAACATTACTTGCAGAGCAGAAAAACACATTAAGCATTTAAGGTCTACTGGGTTACAGCCCGTGTAATTAGCATAATCTCAGAACTTTATGAGTTCATTCCATATTTAATCATCAATTTTTCGAACTTGAGGTTTCGAAAAGATTGTGCAAATAGTCAGGTGTTTTACAACAGTTTACGACCATCCATTTCTCGTTCCAGTGCCCTGAAGGTTCTTTCTATCTCCGCATCGTATTGTTTGATCCGATCCTTGTCTTCGTCGCTCAGGTTCGCTCCAGGGTCTCTGTTAAAAGGTTCCTAAGGCAGATTTACCGTTATTTTCATTAATTATTGTGCAACATTGGTTCGAGCTTAGGAAATAAATCCTCCTTAAAGTCTTGATTCTAAAGGTGACACCTCTTGGAAACTATCGCATCAAAAATGTTGTTATTTTAAACTTCCGATTTATGCATCAATCTGTATCTCTCGAACGCCCGTGCGTGAAGTTTGAAGAGCACGAAAATGCTTGAAGGGATGCTTTCCCATATGCAGGAGCCACTCACTTTTTTTAAATAATCTTCTCGAAACGTCTTACATAGAGTTATGCATTTAAATAATTCTTAAAAATTATTGGACAAGAGCATTTTTTTCAATAGACTGTCGTAGGCTTAAAACTCAATTAGTTACAAGAGCCAATCATAACAAAGATTGGTGTCATCATTAGCCAATGAGTACACAAAGTAACAACGGGCAAGCTACTAATAGCGCGAAAAAACGCGGGCGGCCAAGTTTCGTTTGGCGTCTGATCGGTTAAGAGCATGATAATTTTTATTAGACCAATCACAGTCCGAAGTAAAACAAAACCAAAACAATCCTGGATTATTTTCGACGCTCAATTAAAATTTTTCTCTCTTGTGTGTCACCATTAGCTGTGCAAAGAACGCGCGCAAACCACACGAGTCCTGCTTTCCGCTTTGGTCAAAAAGGTTTTGGAAAAGGCCTACATGAGAAAAAAATCGGCAGAAACGTACCATGTCTTTGTTTCTGGCTTCGTCTTCATTCTGTGTCTGCTGTCTTGAACAACCTATATATCCAGGGTGGATTCGGCATTTCCGCTGCGGCTCTCGTTTCTCGAAATTGTTCCCATTTTTCTGAAAAAAATAATTTCCCCTCGTCTCCTAAATCAATGCATAAATATGGTAGATTTTATTCGCATTGTCATGTAGTGGTGCCCAGTGTTGTCGAAACACCAATGGCTTGTTCAGAATCGTTTGAAAACTCCAAAGATTAAATTCAACATGGATTTCAAAATGCTGAGAAGATATGTAACAGTAACAGGTGAAAGGATACACGGACGACGTATTGATCACATGAGTGATTATGAAACAAACATAACTGCTGCATTTGACTCTCGTCGACAGTTATGTATAGAAGCATACGAAGGATTGAACCTGTACAGTAAGTACTTGTCGTTCAAAAGAAGATCAGTGTTATTTGGGAAGAGCAACAGCAAAAGCAATAATACACATCATCGGTAAGGCAATAGTACAAATCACTGGCAAAGCAATGCTACATATCACTGGTAAAGCAATGCTACATATCACTGGTAAAGCAATGCTACATATCACTGGTAAAGCAATGCTACATATCACTGGTAAAGCAATGCTACATATCACTGGTGAAGCAATGCTACATATCACTGATAAACATTTTTCTTACCCAGTTGACTATGTCTCGAAGAAGAGTCCTCTTTAATTCTTCGTCTGTGAGACTTCGTTGGAGTTGAAACTTTGACGCTGTGTTTTCATTGCCGTATGCTCTGTCTCTTGAAGGGAAACTTTCTGTTTGCTTATTTCTACTCCAAGGATAGCGATCAAAGTAATCCTGAGAGGCTCTCTCTTCCCCTGGAAACACCTAGAGTCAAGGCTACTTAGTTATAGTACAGAACTATTCATGTTTCACGAAATAGCTAGTTTATGTGAGGCCATCACAACACAGCGGTCAAACGTCGGGCATGCGCGTAGGGATCAATTCTGGTTTGCCGTGCGTCAATGAGAAGTGGATTGAAATGAATAAAGAAAGTTACGAAACAAAGAAAAATAATGTTAAAGTTTACCTTGTTGTAAAAATTGTCCTTTTCTTCTCTCTGAATCGACGAAAGAGGAAGCGAAGCGCATAGAATTATGCAGAGATTTATAAGAAGGACAAACGTGACGCTTCTCATGTATGCCATAGCCTGACTTGCTCGTGAATCAACGTTAGATAATCCAGTTATTTATCTGCAAAAACACAAAATGAAACAAAAACAATAAACAAGGGACAACGCAAACTTGTGCTTGACAATGACCTCCAGCCCTAATCACTACCCAATCATTTGTTGTTCAGGGCGATCGTCAGGGCAGGGTATGTCCTTTTAACAAAAAAATGTTTTCGGAGAGAGTCATAACCGTTTCGACAATCTGAGCTGAACTTTATATCCTATGCGAGAACTCCAGGAGCAATCAAAGTCGAATCGAAAATTGAATGATACATGCCATTCCCAAACGGAGATGAATTCCGTTAGCGATCGCTTCAAAAACGATTATAAACTGCGAATTCTTCTCAGGGTAAACATTGTACTGTGTCTTCATTCATTGATCAAATTCTTCCATGCACAGAGGTTTAAAATGGTGCACAACACCCAAAATGTGATAGTGCAGCGTTTGTTTATTGTTCCGGGAGAATATCCATGAAAGATTCTTTATTAAACACAGGCAGGTAAATGATTTTAATTTCAAGTTGATACTCACGAAAATACTTTTAAGATATATGAGTTAGTTAAAAATGTGCATTTTGATTTTAAACTTCTTTCTGACTCGTTTTCGACTTTTCCTTCAAATTGCAAAAGCAGAATGCGTCAGGTAAATGATTTTAAATTCAAATAAATAAGCTTGAAAATATGTTTGAGATTTATGGATCTGTTTTAAAAAAAACTTTATGGTGCATTCTGATTTGAAACCGTTTTTCTTGTTTGTTTGGAAAGAAAGTTAAAAGTTATTAAAAAGTTATTCTCATTATTATTTCGTAAGTTCGAGCACGACTCATGACGTCACATCATGTTACCTTAGCAACTGATGGCTTAGATGCGTTTCCAAAGAATGATGACAACGAGAATGAGAAGTCTAACTACACATGAATTACATGTAATGATAACGGGTAACGGTACGTCGAATAATGGCACTAATATTGAAAGGAATACACACGAAATGATCTTAGTGCGGTTTCAAAAGAGAGCCATTTTTAGTTAGAGTCAGTTTGTTTGATGGTGCGTCTGAGACGGAATGTTACTAAAACTAGGAAAAAGGGACTGGGAACGGAGAATGGGAAACGTGTGATCAGCGGTAATCCGCCTAAGAATTCAAAATGGTGGATAACTAAACGGAGGAAGGGTCTAGGCCCGAGTTGTTTGAGCTCAGTCGTCAGAGCAAACAACATGGACGATGATTAAAGTATTTGAGTTCAAAACTGTTTTTTTCCTCTGATATATGTAGCTGGTGCGTTAGAAATCGGGTCTTCGGAGAGGTGAGTGTCTGAGAATTAGTTTTAGGCGACTTAACATTTGAATAAGTTATTACGAACTTCAGCAAACGTGTTTGCAAAAAAGGTTTGCCGCACAGCAAACACTTTCAATAGTCTTGCATTAAATGATAATACACCTTCACTTTGGTGAAGTAATTCAAAATTTTTGCTGTTTCATCTGACATTATCAGTAATGCCATAAACTGAGCGATTGAAAATAGATTGGAATGTGATTCATGCCGCGTAAACAGATTTCAAATATGAACTAATACGTAAATATCTGGAAAAAGTTTTTCGATGCCATTAAATGAATATATTTCTTCCCGTAGGCTTACGATTAGTACCACCGCAAGACAGAGAAACAGACCATAATAGCTCGTGCGAGCTTCGCATGTCGGCGAAGATAAGAAACACACTAAGTTGTGTGATTTAAAATGTAAGCAAAGAGTACGGTAGTAAATATTAACTTGTCATCCGCCATTTTAAATTTCATGCGGGTTACTGCGATACATTTGTTCCTTTTTCAACGTTCCTCGTTACCAATAGACCTCTTAGAATATTTGTTATTCCGTTGAAGGTCTCAAGGGAAGATCTTCCTTTATATGCATGCATACCTGCATGCACGTGAGTAAAGAAACAGTTGTCTAGTTTATTTTCACATGACCTTCATTGGAAAAACAAAACATACGAGCTAAAGAGGATTATTCCTCGTTTCTAATTTCAGTGTCATCAAATTGAAACTTCAAGCATTACATGCGCCAAAAATTTAAAAAGTGACATTTACAGAATCGTTAAATATAGCATTTTTTTGCCAAAATTTTCGTTGATAGATGGTTCATTTATTTTTTTCCTTCCATTCTTCGCAGTTCTTGACGATCGCCTGCTTATGAAGCTATAACGGAGGTCAATGAAAGTTTTTGCGCAAAATGCAATAGATTCTGGGATTACCGAGGCCCGAAGTAACAAGGTTAGCGCATGGTTAACAAACACGGTCGGAAACCAAATTTTCGTCGCCCGTGACAGCTAAAAGGTGAGGATTTTTCTCATATTTTTTTACGACAAGAGAATGACAATATCCCACCGACCAGGCAGAAAGATTAATGAAAGGAAGGAAGATACTTTATCAGGCTTGATACAAAAAAAAAAAAACGCAGTTGTTATGTTTCTATGCGGTCGAATGAAAGTTGTTCAATTGTTCCTTCTCCAGTTTCCAATTTTCTCTAAAAAAATTCCTCTTGGACGTCAAGCAGACAAAATTACCCTTATCCAAGAAGTGAAGGCTTCACTAGTCATATCAAATTCATATCTAATCTTGGAGTAAAGCAGCAAAGAATAACAACTTTAATTAAAACTTCATATGTTCACTCTCAACAATCGACCGCACTAAGTAACAGGTTCGGAATCTTAGTCTCTCCTTAAACTAAGTTGAGTACACTAACCTTGCAATTTAAAATCCAAGCTTTTCAAGCTATGAAACAAAGTGAATGACAAATCATTGGTTGGCAGATGAATTCCATTCATCAGTTATGGAAATAACTTCTAATATGCAAAAACGAGCGCCTTCAAAAGTTTTACTTGTCCGCTCAAAAGCGTGATGGAACTTTATAGGGTTAGACATCGCTTACTGCTACATGGGCAGCATTTTCCCTCGCCCATGCTTTGCACCGGGCAAAGTTTTAAAATTTTGAAAACAAGTTCAGTTTTTGGTATGCTCGTCATTCAGCTTCATCATTCCATCCCAACACAATTATGCAGGTCACTTTCGACGAAAGTGATTTAATATTTACCTCCGCTACGATTAACAAATGTTAGCTATTGAGTAAAAGAAGGACTTTCGCTACGCTAGAAGTTTAATAATTCACACCGCAAAGTTGTGTTCGCACTAAAGAGAAACTGGGTTTTCCTTTGTAAGAGTAGAACAACTCAGAGAGTATTTGTAAAACTAACCAGATGTCCTTGAAACCACACATTTTTAGCCTGGTGTCTTTAGCACTTGTAAATCTCAGTATTCATTCAAATCACCATACTAGACGCTAATGCTGAGATCCAATTCATTGGAGTTAAATCAGCTTGATGATTTTTAAAATTTTGTATTGATTTAAGAGACTGGAACTATCTACGTGAATTTTCTCCTTAGCTGGGGTCAGTTTTGATTGGTTTGTGTAAGCCAAATGTTTGTTTGCTCTGATTTGGTAGCGAGATGATTCACTAATTTAGTAATTGGCACAAGAATTGAAACATGCAGACGCCAGTATGTGTTCACAAGATAACAAGTTTTATACCGACAATAATTTCATTAACATTATGAACGACGCATTTCCTCTTTGGGCGTTTTAGAACTTATGTGGTCACGAAATTTTCAGCGAGCAACGTGGGAATCATGGTCAATTACTGTAAATTCTCTTGTGCTTCTTAATGTAACAAGCTTATGTTAGTGTTTTGCATAGGTTTGGCATGTGTGAGGAACCTTACGCGAAAACCATGGCCAATTTCGACAGAAAATAATGACTTTGCTCTTCTATAATCAGCCAGATAGGTATCGATATATCACAACGTTCAAACTAGTTTGACTTTGAGTTATCACTTGTCCCAGTAATATGCAACAACTTAAAAGAGCGTTGCCTTGTAGAAAAGCACAGTGTGAGGCTATTGTTCTGAAACTGACTCTTCCTTTTTGTCCCTTACTTTTTTCTCAGGGTATCCAACGCGCCTTCCTTTAGGGTCGCAAACGGCATTAAGCCTCGTGATGTACACACTAAAATGTTCCATTCTTTCCTATAAAAATTAATGACGATGACTCACCTGTTAAATTGTTCTTTTAAAACCGTCTTCCTTGAGTTATTCCAATGACAGCATAGGTGCAGATACGTTGGTGTTGTTTAGATAGGCGTATTTAAATGCTTCTGCCATGTTTTCACAGCTATCAATTTCCGGTATTCCATTGAAGAGTGATGTCATTATATGATAGCCAAACTGATAAAATTGTTGTGATTCCAGCCGCTTCCTATGTGCGTATTTAACGATTTACTGGTCAATAACTCGCATATTCTATCGGCTTCGCTAGCAATCTTACCAACAAGATTTGTGAATAGGAAATAATTGTATTATCCTCTGAAGGCATTTCAATTGCGGAAGTTTCTCGTTACCTCAACCTACGCGCACACATGCACGAGATCCTCAACTATTCAGCCACATTGTTGTTTTTTTTTGTTTTGTTTTTTTTGCAGTAATTATTTTTTCTGACACTTAACTTTTGAAAACTATGAAGTTTCTTTAGAGATCTATTTTCTCAAAATATACTGGAATTGTTTTTCAGCGGGCTATTTCACCTCAAAGAAGAAGCACGAGGTTTATTTTTAGATCCTTTAGTCCGAATTAGCCTGTTTTGTGCTTTTTATTGCATAAGTGCGTCTACACATGGGAGTGCCTCTTTCGCATGGTTTACATAACATTACAGGATTGGCATGTGGACTGAGGACATCAACAACAACAAAAGAAACATTTTGTTTAGAAGCAATGTTACGAGAAAGAATAGATTTATACGTAGATTTATGTATACATTCATCGAAATGTCGTCTACTGCAATGAAAACGAAGTTTTTTCTTAATTTCCTTCGCAATGAAAGCAATTAAAATTTAAGATCGCGAAGGAAAGAATTTCGCTCACAATTGGGTCCAGTTGCTCCACGTTGGAGTATTTCCTCAACATTGAAGTTATGTTAAGTATTAAACTCGTCTGTTCTATGTTATGGCTTGCCACCGAAATGGAAATTAGGAATGTTTTTGTCATTCTCCGCATAAGATTTCGTTGTATTGCCCTTATTTTGATGAAAAATTTGGACGAAATTTACCTTGCACGAAGCAGGCTTCAGGTAACAGGCAAATCTTTCTTGCGTGCATTAGGAATTAACGTTAAAGTGGATATAGCGAAAAGGTCAAGTATCGCATACCGCACGTTTATTGCTGAACCACAAAATTACATAAAGGTTAATCAGGAGACCGTCAGGAAACACAAAACTCTTAAGAAGTGGCGGTTATTCATTGATTTTTGACTAACTGGCATCAACTGGCACTACTGATTATGATGATGGCCGAACATTTTTTTAAATTTCCCTCATTTGAAATTCGTCTTTATGTGAAGGAGTCTAAATATCCTTCGCTTTGTCCTAGTAGATTTAACCTGGCAGCTATTCACATAATAATAATAATAATCATCATCTGTAACAATTCAACTATTCAACAAGCCAAGCTGTTCTAATCTTCTTTTCCACCTAATATTGTTGAAGATACTAAGTGCTTGAAAGGAAAGCGATAACTAAGCTTGTAAATATAACTCAACCACTAATATAAACAATGTGTTTGTTTTTCGTTTACCAATGTAATACATGACATAACACATATTGAAAACTTTGTTGAATGATGCTAGATGTTGATCATGAAACGATCTCCGATCCTCACACGCGACCAAACTTTTCCAATTATTTTTTTAATTCATCATTCATATAAAAGTATTTAGCGTCCATTTCCTGTGCAAAGCATCTACGCTATCTATCTTTTTATCCTGGTGGCGATAAATCAAGTGCTCAGCTCATTAAAATAATCCCCTTTCAACAAGTGCCAGCCACTGAAAACATTACTCGAATGACTTCGTCACAAAAAAGATTGTTGCTACGTATTTCACCTAACCATGGAGACTGCTCACTAGTAACGAAACCCACGTCATGATACACTGCTCAATTTTGTATTTTATCATGTTCTGATGTGTTTTCTTCTAACTTTGATGTATGGTATCTAAGAACTGGATAACCGTTACAAGCTCAACACGGTTCTACGATGCGTGCTAGGTAGGTAGAAGGCCCCATTCATGCAAGCTTTTTCACAAATATTTGCTAAAAGAAGTCGGGCGTCACCAATTGATCGCCGGAATGGAACGCCGATAAAAGAATTGCAAAACTTTGCTCGATAACTAAGCAATGCACGCAAACAGTAGAATGTAACTTAAACGAGTTTAAAGGGCTATCATAAAAATATTTCTCGAGGTAATTACAACCAGAAAGCCTTTCGGAGATATCGCCGCACTTCACCAGTTTTTTAATTAATTACAAGGAATTAAGAATAACGACGCGCCATAACAGTGAAACGTGCTAAGACAATAGTCACTTATCTTTAAAAATGAATAAAAATAGAACTCTTGCCGTACTTGACATTAATCATGACTTTGGGATAGGAGAACGTGCTCTTAAAGGTCTAATAAAGAATGAATATTAAGATTGTCCTGATCTAATTCACGTAAAACCCATTTTAGGGGGCCTTATTTTTTATCATTTACCATCAGCAGTTTTTGATGGGCTTTCAATCGGCCGAAAGTTTTTAAATTCATTTGAGGGGTCAGCTCTCATATGTCCGTTTGCAAAATAACGCGCACACTTGTATTTGGTAAAAATGCCTCCTCAAACCTTGAAACAACAAAACATTATTGGAATATCCCGTTGATAAGCTTAGTTTTTGGTTGTTCAACGGTGCCTTGCAAAGTTCATTGCTAGGGTTGTACGATTATTTCGGAACAGGAAGTCTCGATTGTAGTGCACTTTACAACTCTTTTTTACTGAGAGAAGATATCGGAGGCCATTGTTTAATTAGTATTCCTGTGTATTTACACTGAGACAAGATGTCTCCAGCATGGAACGAGGCGATAAGCCCAGAATGAAGAGAATTAATACCCTTTAGGATTAGCGACGATCAAATGCGCCCATTCTTAAAATCCCATTTACTCGTCATTTATAGTTGGAAAACACAGTCGTTTTGAAGAAAGAAATTTTAAATGTTTGCCAAGGTGGCGCCAAGATATATATATATATGTATATATATATATATATATATATATATATATATGTATAGTTACTTTATCGATTTAAGTAAATAAGAGATTGTGTTAAACAGATTATCTTCCTTCCAATCGAGTTAGAAATTAAATTGCGACTGAGCCGCTTTCTTTGCCAAAACCTACTTGTAAGTAATTCCATGCATTCATCGACAACTTCATTAATTTTGAATTGGCGCTGAAGTGACTGTTTTTAATTTGATTTTCTCTATCTGATTCCTCAGTTATGTCTAGTCGGGGTGTAAGGGAACATCTTACGCCAAGAAAGAAAGCCCGACAAAATTTCCCCATTTAATCAGAGCTCAGACATTTGGGTAGCTGGATAGCATCTGATGGATTACCAGACCTAGTGGTGGAAAACTGGTCAGTCATCCAGTCAAATAAGCAATTTCTCTCTGACAATAGAATGGCAAAAACTTATGGTCAGAGCTTCCCTATTGACCGTTGATTCTACACTCGCCAAACAAAGAAAATAGAAAGAGTGTTAACAAAAGACTAAAATAACATGTTATCTTTTCATAATCATTTTTTTTACAAAGTGCAAAAAGTAAGCCTAGCTGGGTACGTTTTACCAAGCATATTAAAGTTTCTGGAAACATTATGTCACGTTTTGAATATATATGGCTAATATTTATGCGACTCTGCAATGGGACCAACTTCACTTGCCATTTTTTCCAAAAAGAGGTTCCCAAAATATGTATTTAAATTTTCGGTTTTTCAGCTTTCGACATTTCATTAAAGGTCATTAAATCGAATTAAATACAAGATGAATGAGTAATTTTTGATCAAACATTTATTGTTTTGTCCATTTTCCCATGCTCTAGCTAATACAGCAACACCAATGCGCAATATTTACATAGCAAAAACTATACACTTAAATACTCTCTGATCATATCAAAGCTTCCTTTGATGCCCTTGTCTGCCAGCAGCTACCGGGAGAAAAATTACATATTACATTTTGTCGCTGTGTTTCGGTGCTCGAGTTTATCATAAGAAAATAATTCAACAGTTTTTTTTCCTCATTTATAAACATTTATGAAATTTGGAACGAAATCAGTGACGAGCTCTTTTGGGAAGTTTTGGTTTTTTAGTCAGTTTTGGTTTTTTGGTCGGCAGACATTGATGGATATAACCAGGACGACAACGCCTTCGCACTCTTTTTCTTCCTTTATTTTTCTGCTGATGATCAGTGTCATTCACAGAGCTGTCAGAGTGAGCATCTTGTTCTCCACCAGATCTGGGTGCATCTGCAGGGCTAGTTAGCAAAGGGCTTGAAGATATTGGTCTCTGGCTGCTTTCACCTGAGTCATGTTCTCCCATGCCGAACAAGGTAGCTAAAGTCCAGCCTTCTTCAAATTGATTTTCTTCACTTGCTGGCTTACTTGTTGAAAAGACCTCCGTTTTTTCCTTGTAGAGGAAAGGTAAATTTTTTTGTTAGATCATTTCTTCTTGATAAACATTTTATATTGGTTTCTAATCATATCAAGATATAGCACTGAACGCGTCACTTGCATCGCCCATTAAGGATACTGAGTTAAAATTCCATTTGAGTGAATGAGAGGAAAATACAAAAATTCTTTTCATTGGTACGATTTTCCTTACACTGAGATGTCCAGTAAAGGCTGCTACTTTGCTCTATCGGCTCCTTAGAACGTCAGGGAAAGTTCCCTTACCTTTTTCAATTTGCTCGGCAGTCTAGGCCTTGCATCCACAAACATTATCTGTGTTATCAAGAATCCACTAAAGGCAATGAAAGTTCCCAGTTTCATCCTGTAATTGTCGTTTGTTCACCAGTTTTCAAGGTTGCACCAAAAGCTGTAGTGTCGGGAAAAAGAAAATTGTTTTAATTAACGTTGCTTTATCCTTCAAGTCAGTTGAAATGGTTTTACTGCATTTAATAATCGACTGTACACTGTACCAGAGCAACTATCCTGAAAGCGATCTTCACAGTAATGAACACTAATTGAGCAGTAGTGAAAATAAGACCCGGAAAAAAATTCAGGCCTGTACGGGATTTGAACCCATGACTTTCATATATTCACAGTCGTTTAGCAACTATACTATTAACAATTATAATTTTGAACAAGAGGAATTGCTTTGATTTGATTTTGATTTGTTTTGTTTGTTTGTTTGTTTTGTTTTGTTTTTTTACTGGCATACATTTGAGGGTAACTTCCATGAATGAAAACACATCTTGGCAAAGTGAATTTAGTATTATCCGCCATTTCCAACTTAGAGGAGTTGGTGTGAAATAAATGAGAAGGCCGACCGCAAATGAACCACAAAGCAGAAATTCAGGGCTAGGGAAACCGCAAATTATTCCTTTTTTTCCGCTTCAAGAGGGAGGAATTTTTTTTAAATGAGAGTTTAAAACGAGTATGGTTTCTATTGTTACGAAATGGTACATGTACAATCACTGAGCAAAGCAAGCCTAAACGTCAACAGCGGACTTTAATACAACGGTAGGAAAGCGAAAAAGAAGAAGACCTGACTTACACAACACTATTGAAAGAAGAGATCGGTAACGATTTCCTGTCTTTTTCTAAATTGGTTCCGATTTGCTTGAAAAATTTCCTATGTTGATCAAGAAGCTTTCCGTTGAAATGATGATTTTCCTCAGTTTCCGGTGCCAACGGTAAGCAAGACTCTATTTAAGATTGTCTGAAATTTTTCTGCTGCAGGAATGAATTACGATGTTTCCTTTTACCTCCGTACCATGGCCAGTGCATGAGCAAGAGTAACTTGATCTATCAATAGTCACTCTGTTGTGTCGTACGACATAACTCTACTTTTTCTCTCGAATTTTCGTCTTGACCAGAGAACTGATGAGTTTTAATCGACATTTTGTGTGGGTGGTCAATTCAAGAGTCAGCAGCAACGGAAATACGCCAAGCTCCCGGATGAACATTTTTTGTTGTTTTTTTACATACTTTGCACGAGATTGAATATATGAATAAAAACCAAATATATATCAAATGAAATAAAATAGTGACAGAGTTAGAGCGAACGAATACATGAGCTTTTAGAAACGTAATGATTAACGTAATCCCCAGTTTTCGATACGAAAGGGTTTCTGGTCTCCTTTTCTCAAGTGTATTTGTTTCGTAGCTTGACTGGTTTGTAATAGCGGTCCTCTCTTTCTTTGTGGTGAGTAAGTGGGACGGGAAAAAGAGCTCGGTTTCTTCAGAAGAGCCGACAAACTCTGATCATAACAGAGCCACATTCACCTCCCCCCCCCCACCCCCCCAGAATAATAAACATCTGATCTCAGACTCTAAAACCATACTGCTAGTTGTTAGATCCCAGAAAGGCTGAAAGTATTGTCGGTTACATCAGCGTGGCTGCCAAGATCTATGAAAAGCGAGCTACCCTCACGAGAAATCCTTGTCATTCCACTAAATGTGATATATTGATCTGACTCACGTCGTTTGAAACCATGAAGTTTGGAAAGCGTGCGGGAATTCTTCGGAATATAGTGAAATCTTAATTGTGCAACAGTGTTTCACAATTGATTAGAATTGGGGGCTAACGAGTTACATATTGACAAACACGTGCACTGAGGGGAAAAATGAAAACTTACCAGTTAGAGTTATACCTTGCTTCACTTGAGAGAATCTGTCGTTGTTTTCTGATTGCTGTTTGCTCGTCTCTTGCCTTCTTCTCTGTTATCGCTGGCCAACGCACTAGTTGTTATGCACGCCCTGCACCCGTTTTTATACCCACTCATGCTACGACTCGGAAGCACGCATTGTGAAATCACATGTTGTAACGTAATCCTGGCAGTGACACGGATCAAGATAACTCGAGATGTTATTTTAACGTTGTCCAGTGATATCCTCTGAAAAGCTTTAATTGTGATGTACTTGACATCGCCTTCACTGTAAACTGTTGAGTCTATAGAGCTACATGTTAACATACCAATGGTGATTTGCGATAAGTACTTGACGATTGATAGGTGTCTTCTAATTTATTTGCACTTAGTATGGGATTTCCTGTCGACCACAATTAGCGCGGGTATTTTTACAACTTGTGTTAAGGTTAGGCACGAGGAACACATTCTTGCTTTTTTATCTTTGGTTAAATTTAGCTCTCTCTCCCCTCTTCTCCAAATATGGAAAACTATTTGTATTGAGGACAAAGCATCTGAAGATCACCATCAATTTACTGTATTTTGTTTTCACCCGTAAAAGCCGATTAGTTAAAGGAAGTTTTTGATCCTGTTCCATGATTAGTAATCCCATGGTACACCGGACTCTTTTTGCTGATCATTTCTCTTAATGATTATCAGTTAATTTTTGGGATTTTTTCCCTGATGGCATTTGGTTTCCATTTCCTAAAATGTCATCTATGTGACCGCAAAATTTGGATACGATTTCATGGCCCCGTCAATTAGCTACAAGTATCATGATCAAAATCAAGGTTTATTCAAAAAAACTGTGGTTAGTTAGAATAAACAATCTCTTAAATGCACAGACTGCTTCAAACTTTCGTCTGGTTCCAAATGAGACTTAATTCTCAGTTTTTTCCATTACTCTGTCGACTCGTAAAACTCTCGTTTCCTGGGAACACTATATACAGCTGCCTACACACCATAAACAGTCTTTTAAACTTAACTATGTTTGTTATTGGTTCTGATGTTTAAACAAGAATTAGGAAATTTGGCTCTAGGTTAACTTCTTGAACGTGATATCCGCTTGATAGTAACCTTACGAAGGTAGGAAATTGAGTTATCTCGGAAATAGTTGGACGATTATTTTTTTAGTACGTGACAATTTTAAAAGATTAGGGTAAGCGAGAAAAATTAACTTAAGTTGCCTTGAGAAGGTTCTACGTGATCTTCCATGCTTAAGTACCAGCAGAAAGGTCTTCACTATTTATATATATGAAACAGGAAACTGCTAACATGTGTCGCCAAAATCATAATGGAAAAATTGTGCCTTAATTCCATTTTCTGTTGGCACACGCTGATCAGATTCTGGCTAAAATAAACTTTTTTCAAAATATTTTGCCTTTTCTTCCATTTTTTTCTCAAGTGAAGAGCTATTTACGTTAGAATGACGAAAAGGAATCATATGCTCTAGTTATCGAATTAACAATGAAACAATTTGTACTTAAGGTTCTATATTTCTTCTTTTTGTATGTTTCGTTGCTTTTCCTTTTTGGAGAGGAAGACGAGGTTCTTGAGAATCTCTGCAGGCTAATCTTTTTTCATTTAAGCTGTTCCGTTCATGCTTCTTCAAAGTACGACCACACCTTATTTTTAGCTATTCCTTCCATGACTTGCATATTTCAAACACTTCCCTAAAACACACTTTCTCTCTTAACCAGGGCGTAAAGATTTTTGTCCGCATTCACTTTGATTTGTCTTCGGTTTTGGCAGAGTGGTTTCGTTGTGGGTTTGTGTTGTGTTGTATCTGAATGGATTGTATCGTATTTTATTGTAATGGTTTTATTTGTTAGTTTGTTTTTTTTGTCGTCTTCTTAAATTTCACACTACAGCATTTTTCAAAAAATATATTTCTGTACACTTTTCGTAGACATACATAAATTGATCCAAAGCGCGCTTGAAAATTTAGATACTTTACTATTTTACGCAATTGCTTTGGAACTCGTTACAACTATGAGCTATTCAAGTCATTTTGACAACGTTTCTTCTACGTGTGCACGAAGACGCTTATGTGTTAGTCTTACTGCTGGAAATTCTAGAAGATTGGCGTGAGCCTTGCTAAAAAAAACGTGGAAGTAACTAAAGATGAGCCGGCTTGAGATATTCCAGCTCAGGCGAGCTTGTGGGCGATCTTCTTCTCAGGATGCCAAGTCACTAGCACCAGCATGCTGGGCAACTGCTGGAGACCCACACCAAAAAACTCGCCACGCATGTCGAGATGCATATCTTTAATCCGCAGGATGCCATGAAAGATCGGAACTTCTGGAGTGGTAGAGAAGATTTGGTCCGGGCAATCCGCCCGATACGAATGGGATAAGATAGCGAATTTTTGTGGTTATTATCGTTATCATCATTGCATGTTCAATGTACCTTTTTCAGCGATTCCCACCAAAAATGACATCATCAATTTTATTCCAAATTCGCATTCCAAAGTTATGATCATCAGTGAGAATTGCGGTAGGGTACGAAAACCAAATAAACTTTTAATAATGACTACTGATCATTTATAGTCATAATGGCCATTTTATCATGCATGGTGTTATCAATTATTGGACTGAAGCTACATAGGTAGTAAGCTTATAATGAACTCTGACAGCGAAAGGAAACCACTAACACACCCACAGCAATGCCACCAGCAATGGGAAATTCTAAAGGAAATTTTGAAACGTGTGATATGTAATCAAATCAATCCATAATCCATAATGAAGAACGCTTGTCGCATTGAAACGTTGCAGTCTTTAGCCTTGCTGTACAGCCCAGGTAGAGCATCCTAATTCGAAAGACGAAAGCATGGGGTTTGAATTCTATTAAGAGACCCAGATTTTTTTTCCCACCTTCCTGACAAGTTTTTGACATCTACTCTCTTCATCAAGTTCCAAATTTAACAATCCTTCACAATTTGCTTACTTTAGTAGCTTTGGTAGTTTAACACTAACGTTTCTCATGATTCATATGCCTGTCTTTTTCACTTTTAACACATTCGTATAAAGTCGGAGAAATCTTACTTTTGGCAAGCCTCAGTTTTAAAAGCTATTCTAAGCATGATTCAAGATGCTCGGTGGAGGGCCGAAAACCTAATGAGGCAATTGCAAAATTTCTTTGGCGGGAACTGGACAAATAATTGTCTCACTTTGTTTTCATCTTCTCTCCTATATGTTAAGCGCTTTGATACGTGTGGTGCGGCATTCACTCGACCATTTTTTCTTAAGGTGAGCTATGCCCTTTCATGGTTTTGCTCATCATAGCGCGCTTTGTAATGCAGTGGCACGGCACCGGAAGACGGAATGCGAAGTTGTGAGGTTCGATTCCACTTGGGAATCCAGAATTTTCTCTTATTTTTTTGGCCTGCGCTGGTGACAAGACAATTCATTCCTAAGTAACCTTTTCTCCAAAGTTTGACATATTTTCTTAGCACTTAATAATTTTTCGTTTACTAAAGACAATCCTTAACGAATACTTCTTAGTTACCATTTTTTGTCATTTGCACTTTGGCAAATTGGGAAAGACTCTTGAAATAAATGCTCGACAGATCTATTGGCACTTAAACTTTTTGAGTATGTCTTCCGGACTTGAAGAGATTTTGTTATTCTTAAAAAACCGTAACCTCGTAATTTTCCATCTGTTACTATGAAACTGGACCATTTTTATTATTATTGATTTGGGAAAAAAAATATATATATATAACTTTGCCGCTGGGCTTGTCTCCACATTTCTCTTTCGTCGATTCTGACTTCACGCAATCAGACGAAAATGGCGCGAGCCTAGCATTGTTATTCCACGATTTCAATGTTCAACAGCATTTGTTTAGAATATTTCATCTCTGAAGTCACATGATTCTTGGTTTTCCAACATTTACGAGAACAGTATCATCGTAGTTTGTATATAATGAAATGATCGCTTGATTTTCGATAGAAAAAATTCTGGATTGTTAAAACTTTATCCAAAAGTGGATTCGACGTCAAAGCCACATTTATGAAATGCTAACCGATTGAATTTCCTCAAAACTGACTTAAATAAGTATGATTTGGGAAATATTGCGAGTGAGGTTGTTACTCTATCTTTTCAGTGCGTGGCAAGGTACACTTTTGTTAAGCAATTTAAAAGAAGTTCAGTTCTGGTGCTGATATCAAAGATCTTCAATCATCATCAATAATAAAAAAAATTGTGTATATTTATATGACAGGAAAGGCATGGCTCATTTTTTTTCTAATAGATACTTAACTTAAGTGCCACTTAAATTATCACAGACTGGATGTCGGCCAATTTGAAACGTTCATAATTATATTTTTATAAAATGTAAACAACTCTTTCAGTCTTTTCGGTTTCCACGCTTTGTAAGATCTCCAATTAGATTCCGTTCATACCAGAGAGTCATTTAGATTTTCGGCCGCCCAAGGAGAAGGGCTTATTTGCTAACGACCAAAAGGGACGATATCTGAGGTTGTGTGTACTGTCACACGTCCCATATGCAAAGTTATGTAACGCTGGTGGTCGCCTGCAAACTTTTGATCGTGCGTGGCATAATTTGTCTTCATGGCGACCTTTCTATTTATAGGTTGAGAATTGAGTGATTTATTCTATGATTTTATTCCTAATACTAATCTTAACGCAGATTTTAATGATTATTAGTGCTCAAAACTACTAGTATTAATTCTCATCCGAGAGGCTCCCCTTCGTTGCACCAAATTCGACTGAATATTAAGAGATGTATCTAAGTTTCAGTTGAGTTTGAATGTATGCAAACCATCGAACGGGTATATTCAGCTCACGGCTTCAACTAAGAATTAAAGGGTACGAAAGAGATGTAGAGAAAACGAGTTTACCTGCCCAAGTAGCTACAACAGTTCGCAAAGGTAGTCATCTTAATGAGTTGAGACGGACTTCTATAAGATGCACCAAATGCACCAAAGCTTGCTCCCGTTGTTTCTCTCTCTTCCTCCTTTGCTTCGTGTATATATGTTCATGTATCTAGGTTTAGCTGAAATAATGCCTCTTTGAAGGAAAACTCAAACTGTTGGATAATTACTCCCATGCATGTCTGTTTGTTTGTTTGCTTTTTTTGGTGCATGGCCAACTAAAACCTATATAATCCAACATATCACTACCTCCGGTGTAATTATTTTTTTAAGTGAAGACATGACGGGAAATGATTAAACAAATATACATAGGTAGCTGAGTGGAATGATTTAACTTTCCGCCACCCGTTGGGTTTACATAATATTGGAATACTAGGGTGTATTATTTTTTTGCGGTCACTGATATCTGCTACGTTGCACCTCTTTGACTCCTACCTCCAAAAGTAAAATCACCACTACATAACATCGTTAATTGGCTGAAAATACCGAGCGGAGGGGAGGGGGAAGTCTTATTCTACTACGTATCTTCCAGATTTTTCCTGACTCCCTGTTTAATGTTTATTTATAGTGTGAACCAAGTAGACAGATTTTAAATTGATTTGGTAGAAAAGAAAAGAAACAATTGGTATTGTCAAAAAAGAAAGCATGATATGACAGTCACTAGCAAGGTATTCCACTTAATATCAAATTTGTCAACTAAGATCCGACAGTAAATTGACGAAATCTAACTGAGCTAATTGATTAGTTGAAATGAGCTGAAAATAGATCCTTTTGAATTTATACTATATTGCGGTTTTACGGTCCACAACACTGGGATGCAGGATTGTCTGATTCCGACTTGTCTAGTAAATAGACTTTAAATCCCATGGGTTACCTTCTTTGGAACAAAACCCAATAAACGTTATGTACTAGTTTTGATTCCCAAGTTGTGAAAATGATCTCTTTCGCAGACCTTCATTCACTTCCAACCCACGCAGGTCACGTCGTTTGATGATCGGAGAAAGAAAAACGCCAAAGGCATCACTGTCCGAGAATATTATCAACTACGTTGTTATCAAGACAAATATTCTGGTTATGAAACATGCCGCATATCTTTTGTATTCTCCATCCTTGTGATGCGTAAATTGACTTTCCGTTGGATATGATTGTTTGTGAAAAATAACATTTCGAATGAGTTTCTAACGAAGATTGTCCAGACTGAGATGTGAAGTTGCCTTTGCGCTCTTTTGGCGATGCTACTAGGTTTCATAATGATACATTTTAACTTGTATCCATTTGCTCCTTAAAAAGAGATATGATCTGGGTATCTGTTGTAGGGGTAATTGTCAGTGTAATAAAAAGTGCTTACGCTCGAAACGTTAGCTTTTCGGTGGCGAATTTACATTATCAATTTAGTTGATAAAACAAATCATCTTGTTATACTACTCCTCAACACAGCACTACAGTTTCTTCAGAAACTTATCCCCTTAAAGCGACTAAAGTTGAAGTAAGGCTTTTTTTTAATGATTTCTGAGCCGAAAAACAGGGTTAGGGTTACAAAATGTCCACATACGCCAACAGAGTTCAGGTCAAAGAACAATATTATTTTACTCAGTAACTCTGTTAGAAAGATTAGTTTTAGCTGAATCATTCAGTCAAGCAAAGTGAGAACGGTTTAAAAAGATCATAGCTCATTCTTGAATTGAATTCCATTGGTTTCCACTCAAAGATATGTGGTAAAACTGACTAACACTGAAAGTCAGTGTTAGCGGGTTTGCCAGAATTTTTCACGTTTCTCTTAGTTTATGGACCTTCACCAGCCTTGCTGTTTCGAAGGTTGATTCAAGTCACCAGGATGTATAGAAGAAAATAAATATAAATTGTGCCTCCTTAACACTTTGAAATACACAAGATGCATCTTAGAGGAATTATTGTTGTCCTGCAGCACGGTGGTTTTTTATTTCAACATTTTGGCATTGAACCGACTTCTCTAAATGTGGCTAATCCGTGAAGAGCGATAGAAATAGGTAAAGCCAGGTCTCTTGAAAGATCATGGGGCTCGCAAAATTTCTATCCGTTCTCGAAATGTCGTCAGGTTTGTAGGTCTGAAAGTCACGCATAAATTTGCAAGTTCTCATAGTTTAGGATTCATTTTTACACTTGCGAAGGCGTCGACGAAAAAGAAGCTTAGCGTAGAGATAAAGTTATGATCGGCGAAATCTTTGTTTGATCTCTGTCGTTTGGAAATATTGCCATATATATCATAAAAACAACGCGAAAGGAGAGTATTTGAGGTCAATCCAATATTTCCTGTCGTTGATAGCACCTTACAGTGATATAATGGTGGTAATAACAAAGAATTTTATGACATAGTGTAACTGTTTACTCGCGTCAAGGTCTTAGATTTTCAAACAGAGGCCTCGGCGTCTGGCAATTTCCGAATTTCCCATTTGTCATCCCTGTCTTATAGCATTTGTTGTTGTTGTTGTATTTCTAACAACATATACCATGTTATTAGATGCTTTTAGTTAAGACTAGGTAGCTTTGATTTCTTTGGTTGGCCGTATCATCTAAGTTTATTGTAGGTAAAATTGGTTACACATCTTTAGCATTTAGTTTCATACAGTCAAGTTCATGTTTAGGTCAATATCCCAGCATGGCCAATTTCGTCAATTCAGCCCTTAAGCTGCTGCATTTAGTTCCGACAAGATTTATCGCCTTTCTCCTCTAGCAGGAGCTAAATAGCTCCAGTCAGTTATAGACCATGTTCAATTGAGAATATTTACCTTAATCTAGTCTTTTTGCGAAATTTGGGGCAGACGTCGAAAGACAAATGTTTAAATGTCTAGATAGGGTTCTCCTTCTTTTAATGTATTACGTAAGAAGGGATCTGCAAAGCTATGATGGTATTAAAAAACAGTTTGTATTACCTCCTCTCCTCACATGATTCCTGGAAAGCAACGTCAATAAGCATCTTTGGAGGTTTCTTTCTTGGCACAGTTTCCAACTTATTAATAACATGACTTGTGTTTACTTGACCCCTCATTCCGATACCATCTAAGTTACTGTCGTGTCATGCATGCTTTCCCTGGAATCTTCCTGCATAAAATGACCGAGACTTGTTGATGTCCATGGAATTCTGAATGCGATTAAACATTTCGTTTAATTGAAGCATGCACTCAGGAAATATTATGTTAATTAAATATATGCATTGTGTGCTACGACAAGTTGCGAGAGAAATCATATCCGTTTGATCTTATTGTCCCTCTGTACCTTTCAAGATCTACTCTGATGTCGGCCGTCTAGTTCATCGAAATAGAACAAACGTCGTTGAATTAACTTTGCACTTCCTGTGTTTATAACTAGACAAGAAGTCCGAAAAGTAACTTAAAATTTCAATACACTAGATCTCTTTATCAAAGCGACGCGGAAAACAGTGCCAACTACATGCAACTCGAAGAGTGTTTTTTAAGGTCGCAGTGCATTCCTTTTGTGTATTTTCATTTAGTTTACTTAACAAAGAGACACGGACATTGGCAAAGGGCTCTGGATATTTCAAACGTAAGGTTGTTGCAAAAACATCCCTTTTTTGCTGCTCTCCAAACTTTGCTTCAAAAGAGAAATTAATGGCAGAATGGTTCGTGCTGAAGAACTCCCGCAAAGAAAAAAAAAACCAACAATAACAAAAATAGCATTCAACAGCCTATTTATTTCGAAAGATTCTGCTTGCTTTTAATTAGATCGGATTATTTCAATTTCCTTAATGTACCAAATTAAAAAGAAAAGGTTTTACGCGAGATTGCAGATTCTCTTTCAAAAAAGGAATTTTAAATCACAGTGGGAAGTGACAATTAATTATCTATGTGCATGCATGCATCCGTCCATCTGTGGAATGCCTCACTTTACCCGGGATGTACTAGAAAGGCATCTGAAACTGTGGCTCATTCGCTCTGACGGAGGGCTAACGCTCGAAACCTCAGCTTTGAGACTCTTTACGGTGGCCAATTTACAGTGATAATGCCAAATTACCCTGTTATACTCTCCCACCGACTCAGCGCCACATTTTCTACAGAAACTTACCCCTTTATTTAGTGGTTGCTAGTAAATGTCCCACAGCCGTGTTTTGAATTTATCAGTCTTCTTTCTTACCACCCTTGACTATAAGTTTATTCTCTTAAATTATCAATTAAGCCCCAGGTTTTCATTATCAAGTACAAATGGTCATAAAATGATTGTCTTCTAAACTAAGTAAGTATTTTTCCGGAAATGGTGGAAGTAAAAGCAACTAAGACCCTTTCCATGGCCATATGCGGGTTGATTAAAGAATATGCAGTGATACTATGCGCCTACATGTCGAAATTTTATTTACTTATTGTTGATAAAATCCAATCAGCTAATAAATCCAGTATTGAGAGGCAAAGACCTTCTGTTATGCTCAAACGGAAATGCGCAGTATGGCTGTTTGTTTATGGGTCGGAGGAAATGATTCACAAGATTTTAGACATGAGCTCAATATTATACCATCTTGTCTGTCTTATGTGTATTTGTTCAATAGCTGATTTTGAAACTTCGGCTCTTCTGCGTTTAGGTACGAAAACAAAATGAAGGTAATCTGTAGGACAAATACGTGGCGTTACCCACAATCAGTTACTTACATCACAAGTGGTACTTGAGATGATTTGGAACTTTCTCGGTGAGTTTGATCAAAACATACTTTCAAACCTATCATTTTGATCCAGTGAGTTATTTTTGGTTGTTAATTAATCCTTTACAGTCATTGGGGATTATCACCTTTCGTCTAAGATCGCTATTTTTGGGAATATTCCATGACAAATGCGCCGGGATTTGCAAACACTTCCCGTCCAAAAGTGCCTTTGTCTGAGAATAAGTGATGTAATGTTTTTGCATTAAAAATTGGTTATCCATACCTCACTCGTAGTTGCTTCCTGTCCACCCCAGATAGTTAATGAACAGCACTCGCAAATTCACAAATGCACAAAATGTTTTCCATTAAAGGATACCTTTCATACTGTCATAGGACATTCGAAACTAGTTTTAGCATGGTGTGCCTTTGGAAGTCTCAAACTGTTTACAATGTATATTAAAGTTCACATGGCAACCAGGTGGACAATCAGACATGCTTTAATGCTGCTCTGGCTCAAAGATTTAATGAATGTAACTGAGAAGTTACAATTCATAGACTTTGCGTTTCGACGCTCTTGCCTAGTGCCTTCATCAGGTGTGATGAAGGCACTAGACAGGAGTTTCGAAACGCTGGGTCTAGGAATTGTAACTTCTCGGTTACATTCATTAAATCTTTAAACCACAGTAGCATCAAACCATGTCTGTTTACATTTTCTTGCAAACCACAAGATTATGCTTGCTGTACTTAAGACGATAAATACTTGCAAATCTCCTTTTCTTCTTAGTCGACAAATCAATGGAATTTGTATCTAGTAAGCTTTTCCGAATTTAATTTTATATTTGTCTAGAACATTCTTGAAAACCTTTTACTATCATTTTCCTTTTGGCCTGCTCGCGAACAAAATTGCTATTTACGAATTTGTGAAGTTATCATAGCTGTTTTTAGTATTATTTAGAGAACATTTTTTTCCAGTTGCTTCTTAACGAGACGATCCTTTTCACGTCTTCCTTATTATCTTAATTCAACCCAGCTCATGCAGTCGAGCGCTATCCAATGATACATGGATCATCATTCATGATCTTTGTGCAATCACAAAGAAAGATTTGTCGCCAAAAGTGGCAATTCTTCTCAGCTTTTTAGATATTGCAAACTCCAAAATTTACATGGATAATTATGATAATTTATTGCTCATGTGGGCTGAAGCAAAGCCGTGGAGCGACAAGACAATTTTTGAACAAATTACTAGTCATTTCAAAAGTAAGCCGATGTGATTTAAATTCTGTAATATCTAAGAGATGGAGATCTGAGATACTTTGATCATATCTGTCGTTTTCCAATCACTATGATGACAAAGAATATGCTATTTGCGAAATCAAAGCGTGGGCCACACCAACGGAATTAACATCTTGAAGTTGCTGAACGTCTTTATTGGACAAGCGAAAATGGGCACACGAGTGAAAGCTGGTTACGTTTGGAGGTATTGATTGAACAACAATTCAATTCCGGAGCAACAAGATTGCCGATTTGAGGAACATGCTGAAACTAGAAGATTTACCGTTTTGTTTTGTGATATTGTGTATCTATAATGTTTTGGCTGAAAAGCTGTTCAAGGTACTATCACTTTTGCAACTCGGATGTATGAATGGTTCTGATTTACACAGTGTACAAGCACTTTAGAAAGAACAAGCGACATTCAGCGGTTTCCGCTATTGATTCTACGAACGGATTTATGAAGATTTGCTCCATTCCGAGTCACGAGGTTTCAAGGGATCTTTCGGTATTGTACAGTCAATAGAAGATTAACTAAGGTTGCAATAGTCCTGAACATTTTTGCATTTCTTTTTTTTACACTGGCATAAATGAACTTTTATCTCATTCTTCAATTCAAGGTTTAACTGCGAGTCAGGATCTCGTTCCGCCATATCACTTCGAAGAGCCCGTCGTAAATAAAACACCGTTACAACTTCAGTACTGTCATTCATTCTTTCGCTCATACCAAACGCTAAAGGCCTGTAATTTACAAGAAAGCTAACCTGGGCCTCTTTGATGTACAATGAATGGGCTTTGAATTTTCTTTTTAAGCGGGTTGATTTAAGTACATAAATGTTTTTGTGTACATAAATGTTTTTAAGTATGTTTAACCCTGTTTAGAAGATCAAATTTTAGATTAAAAGCTAAGCTAAATTGGCAACGCTTGAGAAAGTGGTCTTACTGAAAGCTAAACTTTGCTTAAGTGAGTTAAGGTGAGGGAATTTCGCGATCTTCTAAACCAAAGCACAAGGTTCCTCGAGGATCATTACATCAGTTAAGAACGTGCGGCTAAGCTAAAAATCCTTTAGAAGATAATTTTGCTAAACGATAGATTTACTTTGTTTTTAATTACCGACTCTTTCAAGATCAGATTATTCAACATCGAGCGAATTTTTCGCTTGTCATCGCAAAAGCAAAAGGTTCCCTATCATCTGTACAATAATATTTAAACTGCCCTTGTTCACGGAAATCTATGGTCATCGATTGCTCATCACTTCTCAGTTGTAGCGAAAATAGCTGTTGCACTTGCTATAAAAAAGCTTAATTCCATTGGCAGGAGGTTAACAAAGGAAATCTGCTAACCTCCATCATCGCTTTGTGGGATTTCGGTCCGTTTATCGCGATTGTTGTGTTGGTTTGTAACAACGCATTGACGCAGAAACAAAACAATGTCGAAGACTCCTGACGGTCCGTTCTCTAACTATGCATCCTTCATGATTCTCAACAAAGTATATAATCAATTTCTATTTTGCTGCAAGGCGATCTTTATATCTATTGTTTTGTGTGTGTTTGTGTAATGTTTATTAGTGTAATGTAAATTTTGTAGCTTTTGGCAAGTTTCTGGCGCTGCAAGCATAGATTTTTGTATTCGTCAACTGTTCCACAACCTGACTGCTGCTAAATCGAACCTATCTTTGTTTTATTTAGAAGTGTAGAGCGTTTACATTGTTCCTATTTGGCAATATTGATATAAATAACGTTCCTTAATCACTTTGCTTACAGATTAACCAGCTTGTTTTGCCAGAATATGAAGAAAAACAAATACAAGTTGTACAGCATGAAGAGACATTGCCCCTGATTATGATCCCTGGCGCGACCGGGTCCATGGTTTCCCGATCAAGTGAAGCAGTCTTTGTGGAGTTAAACATAATTATAATCATACCCAAGAATAGAAAAAACACTTCTGACCACAAAATAGAATAACAGCTTGTTCAAACGTTACCTTAAACATACATGAATGCTTTCGTCCAAAGTGTTACCTAATTTCAGCAAAACTTAGAAACAGAAAGATCCAAACCGCTGGGTCTTAAACGAACTTCTATGTGCATCAAAAAAAAAAAAGCAAAACTGAAAGAAATGTCTGAAAAAAATCACTTTCCCAACACTTGTTATACGTCAAACTATATTTGTTCTAGCTGTATCAGGATTTAAACTTACGTAACGTATTGCAAGGAAGGAAATGCATATGAAGGGGGTTGGAATGTATTTTGTATCAATATCGCCATTCCTTCCGACACGCAAACCTTCGCGCCGGTGTTCGACCGAACCGATTGCAAGATATGTTCAATGAAAACAAGACTCGCCCAGGAGTACTTAATTCCAATAAGATATAATTTTTGATGAGGCCGACCCAGCGCATTATGAATGTTTGAAATCAGTCAATTCAATCTCGATTGTGCGATTAAGGCGGCAAAAAAAAAACGTTTTGGAATTTTATTCCTCTCAGTTATGAAGGAGAAATATGTCTTATATGACCACATGGCAATGGCTAAAACGCACTGAGGTCATGCATTTAAGACGATATGAAAAGAAATAGCGAAATTCACTCAGTAAATTCTGTAAAAAAACAAAATAACAGAACTGCAAGTGTATTGTAAGATTTGTTCAGCTGCATGCCAGCGTGATGTTTTTTTTTTTAATTTCAAATGGTTGCTACTTTTTTTATTTTAATTATGGAACTGTGCTCTCTCTAGAAAGATTGTATGGGAAACCTTTGCCTGTCGCCTCTGTGTAACATTATTTGTTTACGTCTGTCGCTACGGAAATCTCTTGTGGAGAGCGTGTTTGATGTATTCAACCATCAATATTTCATGTGCAAGGTGGTTCTAATTATCATTGTTACATGGACATGTTCGGGGGTTTGTCTTACAGGTGGAGATCTCATTTGGTGGGCAGTCTTATTCTTTTGAAAGTCTACTATCACCTATTTAAGTCTTGGATAATCTTTTGATAAAGTTGAAAGCTTTTGATAAAGTTGATACGAGACCTTTTATCAGGAAACGTGACAGAGGGCAGAACTCGCTGGCATACCTTCCATGGACTGGAAGTCTGTTTGTTTGTGTAATTTATAGCTACAATCGTTTGTATCATTCATCGTCAATTGCTTCCGATGTCGTCTAGAAATAAAGTTTGTCATGCAGCAGTTCGAAACAATCGGAAACATCTGGTTGAAAGAAGAAATATCATTTGCATTTCGCTAACAGGCACGTTCCCGCTTCTTAAAATAGCGAGAGGCTATTAACACAGATCATCTACACAAATGGTTAGGTTTCAATTTTAATCGTAAAGACATGCAGCTAATTAAAAACCAAATAAGAGCACATGCTATCAATAAATCCGCCATGAATCAGCAAAGTCCACACGAGTCTTGATCATTCTTGAAAATAAAAGGTTAGAAAATGGGACAATTGCGACTTCAGCTCGTTGCTTTATTTACATTTTTACAGGCCAATTTTCCGCTGAAAATGCCTGGAATGTTGAACTTTCCTTAGAAAACAAAGCGGAAAAAAATAGCGCCAGTGTAGAATTAATAAAAGGATTCTTAAGAGATCATTCCCGTCTGGGACCGATCCTTCTCGACTCTAAAGCTAAAAACGTCTTAATTTGTTTTTTAATCCCCTTGTCCTCTGTTCTGAAAAAATTTTCATCGTAGAACTAATAGTCTTACAGTTTTTTTTTCCATTGGCGGAACTTCTGTCGAAATCTTGCCTAATGAAAGGGAACCGTCTTTGTAATTTAGAGTAAGTCCTGAGGTCAGACCGCATTACGTTAAAATTCAAGCAAACTAAAAATAGGAACAAACAAACAACTAAGTACAATGAAAGAAAAGTGAAGTTCTTATGGCCAAAAGTGCTAAAGCCTGAACATTTCCGCTTTATTAGTCTTTACAAATCTTAAGTATTTACTAAAAACAAATTGACTGGAACTCTGTCGTTATTGAATACAAGACTGAAAACATATGTTGACAAACTGCAAGCTTCCTTTACCTTCAACCGTCATCGGTTTCGAAGGTCAGAAGAGACCTCTGACTATTGGCCTTTTTTGTGTGCAATGATCACAGTCGATTCGTGAAAGGACCTCAGTGACTATGGATATTTTTGAAATTCCTGCGTGTGTTGTGGCGCGACAGTGTGTCAATAGTTTCGAACCGCAAAGGAAAAGATCACAATGTTTCAATTACAAATATGTTATCGCAGACGGGCGTGGAGCCTGTGTGAAGTGTCCGATAAAGACTGTAGCCCTTGTTTTTACCCTACACGTTAGAGGGGTTACAGGTGATGGAATTCCAATTGAAAACACGGCATGGCTTGTTACCTGATTCAATTTTGTTCAATTGACAAAATAAGACATCTGTCCTATACACGAACACTATTACAAAGACGACACGAATCCTAAAAGGCCTTTCAAATTAATTAATCCGAATTCCCGACTATCCCCTGCTGCTCAGAGATCCTTAGATTGAATGCCACACCTTGGCCAGCGATTTCATACCACAGATTGAAGTGTTCTATTTGGAATAATGTTTATCGTTAATAACAAAAAAAAAACAAAACAAAACAAAAACAAAAAAAAAAGGAAAAAAAGAGAAAGAAAAGAAAGGAAAGGCAAGTCATGTGCGCATGCGTACAGTTGGGTTATTGTGTTGTTTGGCCGAGTCCCAGGTTCAATTTTAAGGCATTTCTACATGTATATTGTCAAAGCGACTTTAAAGTTTCAAACCGCGGTTGGCTATAATTTCATAATGCTTTGTAATAGGATAATAATAATAAGACACGCTAAGAATGCTGTCCTTCCTCTCTTCGAAATTTCACTTGGTAGGGTTCGCCAGGAAATTCCCCTTTCTTAGAATTAAACTTCTAGTGTTTATGGCTTCACTTTATAACACAAAAATCAGGGGGTGATTGATTGGTGAGAGGTATAATGGTTGTTATAAAGGAAACAAAATATAACATCGCTAATCGCCATATGGTGTGCTTTAGTTTCGTGAATTTAATCAATGTTTTGCCTTTCAAATCACTCAAAACGAAATCATAAGACCTTGATAGATTTTTTTAATCATATTGAAACGTCATTTTACAAGATGAAACGAAGACAGTGAGAATTGGAAGAAATAAGAAAAATTAGAAAACTTGATGGAAAGTTAAGCCTATCCGTAAGGTAGGATTTAATAAGAGTCCCACCAAATGATATTCACAGGGTAAAATTATGACACAGGGAAACATTTGTGATTTTATGGCCAAGTTAACTGCTATTTACAGTTTTAATTTTAGTTAAAACGGTGTGCTGAGCTATTGCAATAAACAGAACATGATAAGATTCTTGGTCTGAACGACTTCCTTACTTGATATTAGGAAAAGAAAGTTTGAAATTAATCATATATCATTTCGACAGCGCCACGCATTTTAGATGAAAATCTATAAAGAAATTAAAAACGGGTTGTTAGGAGCATCATGCATTCCACTTACATTTACAGGCAACTTTTTCTCCTCTCTGAAAAAAAAGCCATAAAAATATTTGTGTTTCCATAGAGTGATCAGTTAATTTGATCAAAATGTAGCAGGTTAGTATAGCCGTAAGTCATTGACAAGTTCTCTGTGAAAAAAAATCAACCTTGCATGAGTAACCAACACTGGCAATAAATATTCTCTTTAAATATGTTCTGTAATCTATTTATAAGATTATTTTGGGATAAAGGTGGGAAGAAGAGCTATATGATAGAAAGGAAAGGCCTTTATTTACCGAATCAGGTTTTAATACTTGACCCGATAAATATTGTTTTCATTGTTAATTTTGTGTGTGGCAAATATTGATGTTGCCCAAGTTTATAGCACTCATAAAGCACCGGATGGCTCCACTTGGGTCTCTCGAAGAAAGTACCAATACTATTTTCCTGCCTTTGTTTAAAATTGACGTAAGCTGTAAAAAAAGCACTTACAATGTGCCTTTTGGCTGGATTTTTATCCCGAAAAATAATTTAAAACAATATATTTTGATGGCTAATGGATAAAATCGACCGAACCATGTAATTATGTGAAGCATCTAAGCGCATAAGCTTATTGTTATCATTTTATGACAAAACTTTAGTTAATTCTTTGACATCAGGAAACCTGTAAGTCATAGAGGATATCCGCTTATCTTAGAAGTGTCCGTAAAACGTCCTTAAAAGTTAATTACATACACAGTCTCTGATCCTTCAGTGACGCTCATTTATCTTTGAGAAACAGACTGATTTAAAAGGAGTTTAAGGTTTTGAAGAGTATTTTTCAACTCGAGTAACTCCCGTTAGGCGAACTTCGAAAGGCAACACTCTCTGCGGTAAGGGGTGATATTAACTGAGGTACAAATAGTGGGTCTCTCTTCATTTTTAGTGTTTTTGTTTTTGTTACTGCTTTTCATTACGTTGTTGTTGTTGGTGTTTTCACTTTACTTTCGATTTTGCTAAAATTTGTCTCCTTTTTTTTCGATTTAAACCTGGCTCAACTCAACTAGGTGTGTTTGAACATTGAGATGTTTGAGTAGATTTACCGATTTACGCAGGCTCTCGGTCAATGCGCTTATGAAAACTGCGTAATCCGTAGGGGTGTTTTAATTATTAATACATCTCCTCAAATAGGGGCCCCCGAGAGATTTGATATGCTTTAGCTTTGCATTAACTTTGCCGATACAAGTATACGAATAACATTATTTTACAATTTTTTTGCCATTGGTTGATCTAAATCAGCACACGGCCTAATGGTATGTGAATATGCAGTTGATCTTCACTCCAATTCCTTCCCCTTCATCACGCCTGCATACAAAAGTGCTAGTGGACCAACGATTTGATCGACACCGTGGTCTGTAAACTTATAAAACCATTTGAAACGTCACAGTTTTGTATCCGAACATTGATTCGCTGGATTATGAAATATTGATATGTGATTCTTGATTCTGTCTTTTGATCTGTTTTCTCTGTCTGGGAGTTACTTGTCTTACCATATGCATTGTAAATACGACCAAATACATCAATGATTGAAAAAAGCACCAATTGATACACCACTGATACTGTTGCCAGGCAAGCAGCTCGTTTACTTATGAGCCCTTTATATGTATTCATTTCCTTACAATTAGGTTAGGGTGTAGTTGGTGAAGGGTACTTTATTTTTCTCCCATATGTGTGCGACATGTCTTTATCATGGCTAGGGAGAGTGTCACCCATCAGTTATTACTTACTCACCTTTAGCCTCGAGTAGAGAATTGTCTCGTCCATGAATCGCTCAATTTGAAATTTTCTTTTTTTTTCTTTCTTTGTCAGATAAAGATCATATATAAAAAATGATCATGGCAAGGCGAGAGTTCGCGTTTCTTCTTTTGTCCCTGATAGTTCTTTCTATCTGTGAGTTACCCAAACATCCACGCATTTTAAGGAAGAAAGCAGTTGACTTACAGGTATTGTGATTGCAATCTTGAAGGCGTTGTTACTTAGTGCATAAAGAGGTTTCGGCGACTTTTTCGTCTGTTTTGTTTGCGTTTGGTTTCTGGTATCAACATTTCCTCTGCACGATTGTCCTTCTCCATTATTTGATCGTCGTCAATGATCAGCGAAAACCTCTAATGCACGTCCTTGTAACAGTACTGTATCTCCGTATGATTGTAAATGGTTGATCCAGTAAATTATTTATAATTCAAATATATATGGATCACAAATAAAGATGATCGCATACAAAAAGATGACTTTGTTAAAAGGGAAGTTTCTCAGCGTGCAAGGCGAATATTATTTCATACTGACGAGTGCAAGAGATATCTCACAGAACGCAAATATGTGCGATAAAAAGGGAGGTCAGTTTCGTAAGAAACTGTGGTGCTGAGTCGGCGGGAGAGTATAACAAGGTAATTTGGTTTTATCAACTGAGTTGATAACGTAAATTAGCCACCGTAAAGGGTTTCAAAGCTGAGGTTTCGAGCGTTAGCCCTTGGTCAGAGCGACTGATGAAGGGCTAACGCTCGAAACGTCAGCTTTGAAACTCTTTACGGTGGCCAATTTATGTTATCAACTCAATTTATGATGCCAAATACGTGCGATATATTGGCAAAATCCTTTTTTACCTGTTTTCTTTGATGTTCATTTTTTCAAATATGCAGCTCACGTTGTTCATGACCAAACTACATACAGTCGGGACGGGAAATTGGCCAATTTTCTTAAGGTTCTAGTGCTCAAAAAACATCAGGCACAAGAAATTACCATGGGCTCGAGTACTTGCATTTTTTGTTTATTCCTTGTTTATTTTCGTTTTTGTTTTTCATTTTTTAATGATTGGTTTTCGAGCGTGTTTATCTTGTGTTTTTGCAATGCTTTGCTGTTTTTTGAATTCATTCGTCGAAGTATCTATTATGCCTAGAATGTCAGGACGGAGATGACATCGGTCAAAAAGTTTCAAGATGCAATTCCAAGTGCGCCACTTGTCTCCAAACTCGAAACACGCTCGGCAGAGGCATCTTCTACCGATAAAGGACGATTTCTGGGTGGATACAAACGATCAGGTCGTCGATGTCTTTCTGGGCACGTTTATTTGTGTTTTCCAACTAAAAAAACGGGCAGAAGGCGAGAGTTTGTTTCGCACTAGATGCCTGATCCCACAGACGTTCATTCACAGGTATGCCCTATAGAGAGAACCAAGACAATTTAATGCCTATTTAATATCTTCTCCATGCATTCCTTATTTCAAAGAGTACCCTCTTAAGACTCGAGATGTAACACAGCCTTTGAGATGTAATGTTACATTTACCTGAAGTGATACTTCAATATTTGAGTAACCCAATAGACGGCTTATGATTTGTCACGTGGGTCAAATTTGCAACACAGGATCGGTCATATTGACTGAGTCCTCGTACTAGTTCTTCAAGCTTGATGCTCTCTTGAGAGATGATATGTTTACTGCAGTGGTCGCATTGAAGATTGGTGTTGAGAAATATATTGGGATGGTGGGAGAAGACGAGACAAGTTTGTAAACCATTCCTCTTCGGCTCGTGATCATGACTTACAAACGTTTCTCGTGTAGTCTCAACGTCCCGCGTGGGTTGTTACGTCGGTGAACCGATGGAAAGTGCGCTCTGTTGTTTAAACGGTGGAGGAAGAATTTCGGACTTTTCATCTTGTGATTCAATATGTGGGTAATAATGTAATAGTACTTGAGAACGCTTCCGTAAATTGAATCCTTTTTGTTTCTAACAGATTTGCACTTGAAGGAAGTACCTAACTTTCAAACAGCAGAGCCAGTACAGTAACTAAACAAGAGGCTTTGATTGTATTTATCACTGTAAACAGACAGGTTAATAAAGAAAGAAAAAGAACGTTCTCTCTGAGTGCTAATCTGTCCTTGGATTCGGTGATGAATAAAAAAACATCAACACCACACACGAAATAACAAGTATTTTATACTTCTTTTTCACGGTTCTTGTAACTGGGAGTAAAGATCTCTTCCAGAAGACCATGACACTCTGCTAAACTGAACTGTTGTAACTTTAATTTCATCACAACTCTGAATCACATGTCTCGCGTCGAAACTTCCATAAAATTAGGACTTACATGTAAGACAATCGCGTGGTACGACCAAAAAAAGCATGCAATAAGTAAAAAAAAAAAAGGAAAATTAGCTTCTTTACGCCGAGGTTTGACCTTATTCGGAACGGTAAAGATACAAAGCTCGCTTGTGACACGTGACTCCTGTTCTGAAAGAAATTTGTGCCTAATGGGCGGGAACGCTTGGAGGGGTTAGTGAATTGTGACTGAAAAGAAGACATTAGTAGGGAGGGATGGGAGGATTCCTCATTTGTCCCTCACGCCGCACCGGCATCGATAGATGACCAGCTAGATGTTTACCTCGAATATAACTATCATTTTTATCCTTGCTTTTTCCCTTTTGTTACCATGGAAATCCCTGTTAAAATATTACCACTGAGAACATCCTACTTCAAATTCGCTCTGACGAAGGGCTAACACTCGAAATGTCAGTTGATAAAACCAAATTACCTTGTTATACTCTCCCACCGACGCAGCACCACAGTTTCTGAAGAAACTTTCCTGCCCCCCCTCCCCCACCTACTTCAGTGTGCATTGACTCCAATTAGTTATCATGATTTTCCACCGCCGACCGTCTGTCTCTACATAGTCAAATTATATATTATTATATTTTAACTCAGGCATTTTAACCATTCAACAAGAGGCTACACGCAGCCTATTTTCTGGCCGATTTGCGGTTCAAAGAGAACGAAATGAAGGCCTTGCAGTTCTTAGCAAAATTGCTGTCGAGTGCTTTTCACTGTTTACTTAATATGGAGATTTATGGAGATTAAGAATTTGGAACAAGTCGATGCCATGACAAATTGGAAATACTAAAATTGCTAAATGAAATGCAGGGACCAACGCAAAGTCAACAGAAAAGGAATAAGTCACTTTGTGTCTTAGATTGAGTGACGGAGAAATCCGGAATGATGGTAACCATCCAACTCCGCAGAATATTAAACGCATACCTCGAGCGTTTATAAAACCAGACCTGAATAGAATCCTCCGTTTATCAAATTTCCGGTCGCAAAATTCATCAAATTTTAACGCTGCGATTCAAATCTTTTTCTGCCTACAGAAGCACAAATTCTCCTATTTTCATTCACATTTAACAAGTTAATCTTACTATCACAAATTTCAAATTAATGTTGGAGTATCCACCTGCTTGAGTAAATTGTCAGTTCCTTTCTTCTCAAGTAGTTACGTAAATACAAAGGCTACTTTGTTGACTCAAAAACAAGCTATATTGACATTATGCTGAAAACACTGCGATTACGCAAGTCTTTTACCAAATATGCTTCCTCTCTGCACGATCATGACCACATTTCCATGTTACAAATGTTAAAAACTAAAATTGGAAAAGTCTTGCATGAAAAATAAAAAGCATAATGTTACAATTTCCAGAAAAAAAACTATCAACTTAAAATATAATAGTTCCATGTTTTTAATATTAAATTTCGTTTGCGTTTGCCGTTCTATGTAAATGCAAAATTTCAAAAATTATTCATAAAGTGCATCTGTCTTTTGAGCTCCTTCCTAATATCTCGTTTGAAGATGGCGTATGATAGCGGGTTAACGGCTGAGTTCACAACTAAGATAGGTAATTTATAACCAGTGTCTTCACATGAGTTGTGACTGTTTAAGATTAAAACGAAACTGCATCGCGCAAATATTATGTAACACAACAGGAACAAAGCTACAACGACCGCCATCATTTTAACTGTCGACTTCCCTTGAGTCTTGATGAAAACTTCATGATTAAAATGTAATTGTTTAGCCAAGATTCGAGCGGCTTGCTTGTGTTTGCAAACGATTCGAAACATAGATACAAAGCAGAAGATTAAAATAAGGCATAAAGGTATTTCAAAACACGCATAAAACCAGCCGCTGATCTTATAAAGCAGAGAGTTATTTAGACTAAAGCGAAGGGATGCGACAAGTGTTATCACCGTAGATGGTATTCCCCAGGCTAAAGCGATCATTTGAATAACTCGACGGCGTTTCATGAAAAGCAGATACTTCAAAGGTTTCGTAACAGCGATGTACCGATCCAACATTAAGCAACATAAGTTTGTACCAGATGCATACTGGAAAACCACCCTTATAAACATCACTGCAAAATAACCGATGGAGGTTTTAGGCAGTGCGTTTCTCCCGCTGGCCAGTGTATAGAAGAACTGCAAGGGAATGGCAGTTAACCCAACAAAGAAATCAGCAATTGCCAGGGAAACGATAAAAGCGTTGGTTTCGGTGCGAAGCTGTCGACGTCTGCACACCAAAAGGATGACTAATCCATTCCCTGTCAGAGTCAAGACGGACAAGATCCATCCGAAAATCCAAAACCACACATTTTCCATTTTTTAACTGAGGTATCGAAGTCTTGCATCGGTGGACATAGCATAAACACGCATTAATATTTTTTGCTAATTTCTTGTTGTCATTCTGATCACAAGTGGGAGAAACCAAAAAAGACTGAATGTTTGAATTTTCTTAATTAAATGCTTGCGTGATCTCAATAAACTCTCGTGTATTATTGTTATGCAAAACAGCCTCTATAAAGAGTTGTCGACTCTAAAATTACTCACTATTTATTTGAAAGGGTTACTTGAGTTGAATGTACTGAATTGGTATGGTACTGACATCTTAATCTGTGGAGAGAATCTCAATTTCACACTGCTAATCGAGGGAATATATTCTACGCTAGCACCTGTACGCGCGACCCAAGGCCCTCTCGTTTTTTCACTCTACCGATACACTGGAACAGGCTAGGTCTGCGGAGTAGTACCATCTCGTATTTCTCATCAACCTTTTTTTGTCGTGCCATGACAAAGTCGTGCCAGAAAAATTCATGCCGGAAAATTAATGTCGCGTGAGAAAATTAAAGTCGTGCCAGAATGTTAACTCGTGCCTGAAAGTTAAAGTTGTGCCGGAATGTTGGAGTCGTGCCGGAAAGTTGAGGTCGTGCCGGGAAGTTGAAGTCGTGCTGGAAAGTTGAAGTCGTGCCGGGAAGTTGAATTCGTGCCGGGAAGTTGAAGTCGTGCCGGGAAGTTGAATTCGTGCCGGGAAGTTGAAGTCGTGCCGGGAAGTTGAAGTCGTGCTGGAAAGTTGAAGTCGTGCCGGGAAGTTGAAGTCGTGCGGGGAAGTTGAAGTCTTCCTGGAAAGTTAAAGTTGAACCGGAATGTTAAAGTAGTGCCGGAATATTTAAGTTTTGTCGGAATGTTAAATTTGTACCGGAAAGTCGAAGTCGTGCCGGGAAATTGAAGTCGTACTGGAAAGTTAAAGTTGAACCGGAATATTAATGTAGTGCTGGAATGTTAAAGTTGTGTCGGAATGTTAAATTTGTACCGGAAAGTCGAAGTCGTGCAGGAATTAAAGTCGTGCCGGAATGTTAAAGTTGTTCTGGATAACTGAAGTCGAGCCGGGAAAAAACTGAGGTGGTGAAAAATAAAGTTGAAGTGGTGAAAAAAAACAAAGTTTATGAGAAATAGGAGATGACAAAAACTGGGCTCCGTGTAGGTCACAGAGCGGAACAACATTCCTTCCCTTGAAGGAATGTTGTTCCTTCTGTTGAGGAGGAATGCTGTTTCTTTAGTTGGAATGTTGTTCCTTTAGTTGAACTGTTGTAGTTTATTCCAAAAATACCTGATCAGTAGAACGTTTATGCCTCCTTCGCACTCACAGTTGCGTGACATCGTAAAAAGGGGCTGTAGACTCATAACTAATCGAAATGACAACGTGACAACCAAGTGGGTTGAATTGCGAGACTACTTCCGTTTCCGCTTTTCATGATCAGTTGCTACGTTCTACTACGTTTCCCCCGCCCCTCCCCCCCCCCCCCCGCCACCCTTTGTTACAACCTTGTGACTTTTGGGCACTGATTTAAGTTAAAGGTACTATTGTCTCCGCGCACTGCTTAGACGATTCAAGACTGCGAGGGCGGCACTCTTCCTCATCATGAAGAAACAAACCATGATGATTTTAGCGGCAGCTATTTTGCTTTTGTCGATGGCCGTAAAAAAGTCAAGCGAGAATCTTCTTCCATCACTTCAGTTCACACGCGACACATTAATGAGTTTCTCAATGGGCTCAGAGCGTGAGGTAGAAATTCTCACACCGAACAAGACAACGAGACTAATTCCTAATTCTGGCAACACTGGTTTAAAGATTTTGAAAATGGTTAAAGGGGTCCGACCAGTTAAAGGAGCGAAGAAGGTACTCAAGGGAATTTTTGTATCTGCAACGAGTCATGGCATGATTATACCAGCGACTCCAAAACCAGTTACGCAAACGGTGATCACATATCAGAAAAAACGAAAGACGTACAGACCTCGCGCCTCTCCATCAAACAAGTTTCTTGAAGCTATCAACGACATCGAACGCGCTGTGGCTAATGCGAGGGCTTCAGGAGTCCGCCACAACGGTGATACGTTGCCGAAATTAAAAAGACTTATTGTAAGGGCGATTAGGAGCAAAAGTTTCAAGTATGCGCGCGAGGTTCTTGGACATATCATGTTTATTTTAAGCACGAAATCATCACCACCAAGACGCACAAAGCGGGCTTCTCAAAACAGTGCAAATAAAGGTAAAGAATTTCTTCAGGGACTTCGCACTCAGCTTGGAAGCTCGACGTTTGATAGCTTCATGGCTGTTCAAGGAGATGTATCTCTCATGTTTGTCATCGATAACACAGGAAGTATGGGCGAAGAAATTCAAGCTACAAAGAATATCGCTATTGATATCATCAATTACCCACGTCAAGCCCCTGTTGAGTACATTCTGTCACCATT